TAACTCAATTCTGACACTACCGACCTGAAGACAGTATTGGATCCCACAAGCTGCCTATAAATTGGGGGCTCCCAAGACATCCTCCTTGGGTTTGACAGTTCACTGGAGTAGCTCACAGAACTCAAGAAAACAGTTTACTTATTATACATTGGTAAAAGCATACAACTGAGGAACAGCCAGATTGAAGAGATGGCTAGGACCAGGCACGGGGGAAAGGGCTCAGAGTTTCCATGCGCTCTTGAGGCAAACCACCCTCCCACACCTTCACGTGTTCATATGTCTCAGAAGCTCTCCAAACTCCTTCACTAAGAGTTCTTTGTGGAGGCTCCATTACCTAGGCAGGATTGATTAAATCACTGGCCATTGGTGACTGAACTCAATCTCCTAGGCCACCCTCTCTTACCTCCCGAGGTAAGAGGAGGGAGGGGGTACCTTCTGGGGCGCCTGGGTGGCTCAGTCATTAAGCGTCTGCCTTCCGCTCAGGTCATGGTCCCAGGGTCCTGGGATGGAGCCCCCGCATCAGGCTCCCTGCTCCGCGGGAAGCCTGCCTCTCCCTCTTCCACTCCCCCTGCTTGTGTTCCTTCTCTCACTGTGTCTCTCTCTGTCAAATAAATAAATAAAATCTTAAAAAAAAAGTTCCAACCTTCTAATCATACTTTTGATTCTTTAGGCAACCAGCCCCCAGTCTTAGATGCTTTCTAAAAAATTACCTCCTTAACATAACTCAGGTATAGCTGAAAGGGGCTTGCTCTGAATAACAAAAGACATTCTTTTCACTTTTGTGTTATTTCAGGAACTGGGAACAAACACTAAATATAACAAAAGACGTCCCTGTAGCTCTTATCAGTTAGGAAATTACAAGGATTTTAGGAACTCCGGGCCAGGAGTCATGGGTGAAGACCAAATGTATATTTCTAGTTATAGTATCATATATGTACAAACTGGACTTTGCAAAATCAATTAATATTTCCCACATAACCCATGGACATTTCTGGTACTACATTGTTATCAAAGCAACAATCCTCATTTTTAAAAAAATTGTAAGCTGTTACATTGTAGTTTTGTTGATACTTTGGATCCCTAACAAAACTTTTATTTAAATGATGGTGGTTCTCTGTATTGGGAGGGTCAAGGATAAAAGTCTTTTGTATTTCCCTAAGCAATTAATTATACTCATGCTCTGCCCAATTAAAAGAGTATTCTTAAAACACTTCGTAAGTGAAGAAGCATAATTAAATGATTGGGGAAGAGCCCAGGTGCCAACTATTGTTTTCCCAATGGTGCAGGGGCACCGAGACCCCCTGATAGACACGTGAAGTAACACAATGAGTTCTGAGTGGACCTAAGTGGGAAGGGCATTTAAGTCTTTCTGGCCTTCCCAGTCTCTGGGTCAGATAGTTAATCTAAACAAATGACGAAAAGTTTTCCTTACTTTATAAAATGAAACTGAAGATGTCTGGCTTAAAAAATACATAAAAATACTCCCGTTTCTCCATTTGTGGCATGCTCATTCACCTTTTATCTTTATATTCCAGTAAGTTGTTTCTATATATTTTCTAATCTTTACGGGCTTCCTGTGGTCAGATGGTTTTAATAGTTTCTCTTCTCACTATAAAATCAAGGGTAATTTTAAACCTTTCATGAAAATTGCCACTTCCCTAGAGAAAACCATGTTTTATGAAGGCTTAAAATCCTTCGTGGGAAGGTCACTTTTTTTTTAAAGATTTTATTTATTTGACAGAGAGAGAGAAAACACATACAGGGCGGAGGGGCAGAGGGAGAAGGAGAAGCAGACTCCCCGCGGAGCAGGGAGCCCAATGCAGGGTTCAGTCCCGGGGCTCTGAGATCATGACCTGAGCCGAAGGCAGATGCTTAACCGACTGAGCCACCCAGGCGCCCCAGGAAGGTCATTCTTGATAACACTGCTTTTAAAGGCAAGGACCTTGTTTCAATATACTTAATTGTTTAAAATTCTTTTGGAAACCATTTTATAAAGTAAGGAAACCACTTGTCTTTCAGGTGATAAACTGCTAATTTAACTGGTTTATGCCACGTTAAATTACATATTCCTATATTAAACATTTGTAAAGTACTCCACGGGAGAATTCTTTGCAGAGAGAGCAGGAAGAAAGTGCTTATCTAGCTTCACTCTGCTCTTCCCTCTCCAGACTCCTTATCAGGGCAGCCATCTACCAAGGAGAATTGGAGGCAAGTGTGGTGAGAGTAAATAGGGTCCCTTGGGCCTCGTGGAAAGTCTGGCAGCAAGCTTGCATTCATTTCGAAAGGCAACTCGTGATTCAGGTCATAGGTACTCAGAGCCAACTCCCATAGCTGAACAAGCATGGCGAGAACAGTCTTATAACTGGGGCTGGGGAGGGAGGAGCCAAGGGTGGGATGTGCCCCTGCAAGCAGGTCCATCGCAATATAATTAAGCTGAGACTTGGGGTAGAAGAAGTAGGTCAAAGGCAGCGGCTTCTAGTGAGGGGGATTGTGCAAACAGCAATGAGGAAACAAATGAGAAAGATCAGAGCCAGGTGTCCTGTGTCTCCCATGCTGAGTGACTGGGGGTAGGGGCTGGGGAGCCAGTCAAACCAAACTGAGTACCATCTCATCTCCTCCAGAGCTCAAGGCCCATCCCAGCAGCGCACCTTTGCCTTCCCTGACAGATCGCATCTGCGTCTGCGTGGACAAGGTAGTGAAGAGACCTACAGTTGGAAAGTGTGCTGTGTACCACTTCCTACCAGCATGTAGACACACGTGGAGAAGTGAGGGAGCTCCCGAGCATGTCTGGGAATGGTTAATGGGAAACATCTGTCTGCAGGGCCAAACGCTAAAGATAATTAGAGGAGAGGAGAAAAAAGGGAGATGGCAGAGTGAATATCAGGGGAGAAAAAAATATGAATAATATAAAAATGCATCATTTTACACACACATACACACAAAAAGAAAAAAGAAAAAGAGTGCAGAAATAAGCCACTTTGTTCCTGAGCAAAGCCAATCATATTCTTAGAATAAGCTAATGGGTAAAAAATTGAGAGAACCTTCACATCACTCTTTTATACTTAATTTTTAAAATGAAAATACACAATGGCGATAAGATTGTAGCAAAACTGATAAACTCATAAATTCCTTGTAACTTAATCACAACTTTTTTTTTGAATACCAATTTGGCAATAAGAATCAAAAGCTTTCAAAACTGTCATAGCCTTTTGCCCAGCAATACTCCTGGACATTTAACCTTGGAGGAATAAATCAAAGGAAAAACTGTCTAGATAAAAATATTCACTGCAATTTTTTTTTAAATGGGGGCTAGAGACAAACTAAATGTCTCAAAACAGAAAAATAATTCATTAGGACACAACAACCCAGCAGAATCCTCTGGAGCCATTACAGGTCATAATTACGAAGTTCACATAGCAGCATGAAAACTGTCTGATACAATTGGCAATCTTTATTATATATCTTTGGATGGCTGTCACTACTATGACAAAAGCCAGGAAGAAATGCGGGCGGGGGGGAGGGGATTGACAGTTGGTATGTTAAAAACTGTAGAATTACGGGTGACACTACTTTCTCTTTAAAATTCTCTTCACTGGGGCGCCTGGGTGGCTCAGTTGGTTAAGCGACTGCGTTGGGCTCAGGTCATGATCCTGGAGTCCCGGGGGATCAAGCCCCGCATCGGGCTCCCCTTGCTCAGCCGCGAGTCTGCTTCTCCCTTTCCCTCTGCCTGCCACTCCACCTGCTTGTACTCTCTCTCTCTGGCAAATAAATAAATAAAATTTTTAAAATAAATTAAATTCTCTTCACTGGTTTCTTGTGTGCCCCTTAAACACATTATGGGGTTGGTGGGACTAGTGATAAAAGCAGAAACAATACAATGAAAGGATGGAGGCTCTTAATAAGAATGCTTTCAGCTATTAATCAAACCTTTCTTTTCCCTTCCTCTTCCTCCCTTTGGAGGGCTTCACAGTGGTCTCAGGCTATGGCCCAGAACCACCAGCTGTCAGTCTCCTTGAAAGACCCTTCTTAGGACCAAAACCTGGAACCGCGAAACCTGCCCCAGTCGGCCCTCTCCCACTCCCAGGGTATCACCGGGACCTCAGACCTCACGGCTTTCGGCTTTCCCCCCGCTGTCCAGGCCTGGCCTGCCCTCCGTGGATCCAAAAGAATCAAACGTAAATAAGAGAAAAGCAGCGCAGTGAGCTGAGTTGAGATTTCCCTCTACACACCAAGCTATAATTAACAGGAGGCGACGCCAAAAACAACAAAGGAGCTTCAAGGAAACTGGTAAAATACGCTCCAGTTTTTAACTACATACATATTCTTTTCTACTCACCCACCCCACCGCATTCTCCCTATTGTGCTCAGAAACTCTTCTGAAACCACCAGATTACAGCAAGACACTAAAAGCTACCACTTAGCGGCAGGAAGGAGGTGTGCAGAAAGAAGCTTCACAGAGACCACATACGGAGCCAACAGAGGTCACTTTTGAGAAACAGAAAAGCTGTTCTTAGAACCAGAAGGAAATTAGATAATCCCAGCCCAGGTTACTTAATGGGTTTAAGACTGTGTGTGTGTATTTGTGCGTGCGTGCTTGTGGAGGGGGCAAAAATGAAGTAAGAAGCAGCTACCAGGTCCTCTAAGGATAATGTACAAGAACTCCTCCAGTGTGGACTGGTTTGAGGTGCAGTGGAAAAGACGAGTTCTATGTGGTTTAGGTTGAGCCCCATAATTCTCCATCTTCAGAAAACGTCCCTCTCCAAAGAGTATTCCTGAGAATTGCCATAATATCATCCTCAGTGATGACTCAACCCCTTAGGAAGGATTTTCTAGAGAACTAACCCTACCCTACCCCTTACCTCCAATCTCCCCCTTTCTCTACAAGCCCTTTGGGAACCACCATCATACTTGGGGCAGCAGAGTTGGAACTCCAGCTGAGTGTGGAGGCCAGCAAGGAAGCCATGCACGATGTGCTTTTGTCTCTCCCTGGAAGGACTTACCTTCATGAAAGGCAATGGGATCTCTTCCGTCACAAGGGTTATTCCAGGAATTTCCTAGGGTGGGGGAAAAACACACACACAACTGCTAAACATATCAACCACCACAAGCTTGAGCCTTCAGGAAGTGTTTTCTGCACAGACAGAAGCTGAGGGCAGCTCCCAGTTTGCTAACCTCTACTTTAAATAAACCTTAGGGTTTATAAATAACAGTGAACACAACCCATCTCTTGCCTTGGGAAGGGAAATATTTTTTAAAGTCATGATTACAATAGAGGACAGTCTTGGGGCACCTGGGTGGCTCAGTCGTTAAGCGTCTGCCTTCGGCTCAGGTCATGATCCCAGGATCCTGGGATCGAGCCCTGCATCGGGCTCCTTGCTCAGCGGGAAGCCTGCTTCTCTCTCTCCCACTCCCCCTGCTTGTGTTCCCTCTCTCGCTGTCTCTCTCTCTATCAAATAAATAAATAAAATCTTAAAAAAAAAAAAAAGACGACAGTCTCTGAAGGAAAGGAGAAGACTATAAGGAATATGGAGCAAATAGTGTATTATTTACACATTTCCTTTTAAGAACAAATGAGGCAAATTACATGTGCACTATCAAATGCAATAATAAGGGGGACACGTTCCTTCTTTGTTTATTGTTTCTTCCTCCCTCTTCTTCTCTTTTGCTTAAATGTATTATATTATAGTTGGCCCCTGCCTCCCTAGAAGGAACCAAAATTAATGGGGTTCTTTTTTTACTTTAGTGGAAAATTTTTCTTCACTTCATCCTCTACCATAATTTCAGAAATAAAAGATATCCAAGAAGAGCTGATGCAGCAGTATCACCATGGCAAATATGAAAGATGTACAATCCATATCAGGAAATCTGAATTATAACATTGTGAGCATTAAAACAAATTTCAATAAAAATATAAACTTCCAAAATGGCCCTTCATTCAGTTATTTTGGAAGTGTGTTTCTATATTAACCATGTAGATTAGCCTCTCAGCTAGTGAATTCATCTTTCATTTTCTAAAAAAAAAAGTAGATGATATATGAGAAAATAATTTAGAAAGTGTTCTGTAGAAAAAAAATCTTCTATTTGTTTAGAACTTAAATGTACTAGATTTTTACTGATATACAACATTCCTGTGGAAAGGGGTACCATGGCAATGTAGAAATAAGTTTCCAGAATATTCAAACAACCGAGTTGTCCACTGTGACCACAGAAAGCCTGTGTTAAGAATATATTTTGTGTTTCACTTATCACTACTCGGTAAGAGAAGACACTTCAAAAAAGCATTAAAATCTCACTACAGCTTTAGGTCTTAAAATAGGAATAACAAGGCTAATTGTTTGCAAAGCATAATTCAGGATTATTTATATGAAAGAGCACCATATGTTCTAGTATCTTAAAAAAAATCCAATTCAGTTATTTACAGAGATAATCTGTCTCCATACAGAAGTATGATATTAATAGTTTTATGATATTAATACTTTTTATTCTGGCAAGTGTTTATTAAGGTGTAGGAATAAGAGCATTTGTAGATTAGAAAAAGGAAAGGCAAATGATTTACATCATTGCTAAACAGAAGCAGGGACTCAGAATTTCAGGATTAGAAGAGACCTTTAAGGTAACCTACTCCAACACCCTGAAGTTTAGAGCAATGTGGTAAACCCTAAAATAAGCTCAGTAGATGGTAGTTAGAACTGTGGGTTTTTTATATTAACTCTCATAGGACTTCCTGACATCACTCTGGAGGTCTACAATGGCTCCTCCGCCCCACAGTCGTGAGAAATGCAAAAGTGAGGAACTGCCTCTCCAGATGAGCCTCTCACACACCATCCAGTTAACACGTGCTCCATCTTTAAACACAACTCTGGGAACTAGAGGGGTTCCTGGTCCCCTCCTCCCAGACACTGAACTGGAGGATGACAGGGCTGGGTGGTGAGGGAAGGAAACAGAGACGTGCATTTCCTGACTCCCTGTGGTTTAACCTGCAAACTTCCTGCCACATCACCATAGACGCTGCATGTATATTCACAAGAGTTCTCAAAGCAAACAGTGCTTGGAGATGGAATGAGTTCATCTTTCCCTTGTTATTCTACAGTGAGGCAAGAACATTTAATAACCCTTAACGGTAAAAGACAGAAGGGCCTTTAGGAAAACACTACCACTGTGCATACCAAACATTTAGAAATTAATCAGACAGACATACCTGCCTCTATTTAGATAGTCTAAATACAAAATGGGCAAGTGTCACAATTTAGCCCAGTACTTATTTTCCAATGTCTGTGTTACCTAAATTCAATTTATTTTTCTAAATGCCTTTTTGATATAAACCTCTGCCTCAATACTAAACATGTAATTCTAACATCTAAGTATGAAAGAAGAAACCTTTTTCAGGGGCAGCCTGAAACCTTTTTCGGGGTTTTCACTTTCTGATCCAACAAATCTCAGTTTACTACACCATGTTCTAGAGAAAATAGACAAAATTTTAGCTCAGCACCTCCCCACTGAAAAATTGGGAGGGGGGCGCCTGGGTGGCTCAGTCGGTTAAGCGTCCGCCTTCAGCTCGGGTCATGATCCCGGGGTCCTGGGATTGAGTCCCGCATCGGGCTCCCTCCTCCGCGGGAAGCCTGCTTCTCCCTCTGCCTGCCTCTGTCTCTCTTTCTCTGATAAATAAATAAAATCTTAAAAAAAAAAAAAAGAAAAAAGAAAAATTGGGAGGAACGGCCAAGAGGAAGAAAAGGTTGAATGGAGTGAATTTGCTTAAGATTACCAACTTTTACTGAACTTGAGGCTCTACAGTTATTACAGATTTTCTTTATGAGGCTGGGAAAAGGGGTCAATCTACTTAGGAAATAGAACAGCCTACAACAATAGCAGTGGTCCGGCCATTCCTTAGGTTTATAAAAATATTTTAATCCTCTCCAGTTGCTAAAAAAAAAAAAAAATACCATTTGAAGATGACAGAGGCTTCATTCTGCTTAGTAGTAAGACGAGTGACACATATCCTGTACCTTCCCCTTCAATTCTCCTATTTTATATCACTACCTTTGGCTAACAACAAGGAGTCATGATTATTTTTCTGCCAGGAAACTCCAACTCAGATCCTTACCAGTCAAAATAAACAAATGAAATCACAGCCATGGGTACTGTGACAGGGATGTCCTACAACTGATCCACAACTGTGAATCGATTTTAATTACATAATACAAAGCGTTAACTTACTGTATTCCAAGCGAGCACTGAGGAATATGGCAAAAGTTTATCCATGTCGCTTGTCTCTGGGTATATGCTCCAATACGAAGAAGCTGAGTAGATTTTTGAAAGAAAAAAAGAAGAAAGACATGGTTTAATAAGGCAGTAGACACTGTAATTCACCAAAACAAGCAAACCCCCAAAACGTTTTTATTGCCTTATCCTTATCTTTAAAAGGCTAGCCATTATGGTTCTACCTTTATGAAATGTTCAAGTTCTGCTCTTTACAGTGAGAATCATTTAAAAAAAATTATTTGGCACTTCTATCTAACCCAAAATGACATTATTCCGCTTCACACAGAAACTGAACTAATAAAGTTTTTTATATCTTACTGGGAAAAAAAAAAATCACTAATAAGGTTAGAGAATGTGTCTCATCAGTCTCCGAACCGTCGCAGCTTCTCACAAGACCATGAGAGAACGAAATTTAATTAGCTGCTGACTGAAATAGTAAAAAAAAAAAAAAAAAAGAAGAAGAAGAAAAAGAAATGCTTCTAACCAACATTTTGACAGGTTGAGGCATTATCAATTTGCTGCTTTCCCTCCAGCAAAAGGGTCAAGGATTCAACTTACTATGCACCATCAGCAACACCTACCAATTATAAATTCCTGAATGAGGTCAAATGAATGGCAGGCAGAGATGTTCTCAGAAATCCACTGAATAATCTTTAAAAAGGAAGAAGACAAATCTGTTGGTATTTACATCTGCACCCTGCCCCCACCACCAAAGAAGTACAAAATGTATGTGAATCTTTTAAAATTCTGTATCTATTTTGGCACTGCCAAAGAATATACTCACTTCCCTTCAAGGCACATAATGCAAGACTGTGGCTTAAGCAGTCTTATAAATCAGGTCCATTTTACATATTTTTTTTAATAAATGCCCTTGGCTGAAATTCAAATAAGCCTTCTTCAACCCCATGTTTTGTTTTGTTTTTTGCTAGAGTAGGTCATGTTTTAGCAAAGTACCAGTGTGAAGAGCTGGCGGATACAAGAGAAAACAAACCAAATCACACCCCAAAGCTCGAAGGCAGCAGACCTGGGTTTGAGTCCAGCTCAGACATCAGTGTGAACGTTGGCACACCGCTTAACCTTCATGAGCATCACTCTATGGTCCTCCCAAGGGTATGTTGTAACAACAACTCAGCCTCCACAACCATCCTCACCTGCTGGAGGACTGAAACTTCTTGTTCCCAGCCTTAGACACTATGAGGCTTGCCTAGCCACAGAGCACTCTCACATTTCTGCTCCTACCAATAAATAAGTGGGTTTTTTTTTTTAAGATTTTATTTATTTGTCAGAGAGAGAGAAAGCGCACAGGCAGGGGGAGCGGCAGACAGAGGGAGAATGCCGGGCTCCATCCCAGGACCCTGGGATCATGACCTAAGCCAAAAGCAGGTGCTTAACCAACTGAGCCACCCAGGCGTCCCAGTAAGTGGTTGTTTTTATTTCTAAGCCTATTCATGCTGGTTGTATTTATCTTCACAATTAGGTAATTTAATAAAATATTACCACCGACGAGTGAAATATGGAAGCAAAAAGAGTGCTGTTTGGTCAATAAAAGTTGAATGCTTCAGAAAGACTCAAAGGCATGTCTAAAACACTCACTAAAAAAACTATGTGTGAGACAACTGTAAAAGATTAGAAAAAAACTGCCCAATAGATACGGATGGTTCTGAAAGGATCTTTAAAATATGGCTCTCCTTAGGTTAAAAAAAAGAAGAAAGTAAGATTAAGAAAAAAAAAGAAGAAGAAAGTAATAGGAAGTCAGAGACAGCAAATTACTAGTGGTTTTATGTAAGAAAAATTATTTTGACAGTATGGAGTTTCCTCAAAAAGATGAAAATAGAGCTACCCTACGACCCAGCAATTGCACTACTGGGTATTTACCCCAAAGACACAAATGTAGTGATCCGAAGGGGTACGTGCACCCCAATGTTTATAGCAGCAATGTCCACAATAGCCAAACTGTGGAAAGAGCCAAGATGTCCATCGACAGATGAATGGATAAAGAAGATGTGGTGTGTGATATATATACACACATACACACACAATGGAATATTAGGCAGCCAAAAAAAATGAGATGTTGCCATTTGCAACAACGTGGATGGAACTAGAGGGTATTATGCTAAGCCAAATAAGCCAATCAGAGCAAGATAATTATCATATGATCTCACTGATATGAGGAATTTGAGAAACAAGAGAGAGGATCATAGGGGAAGGGAGGGAAAAATGAAACAAGATGAAACCGAAGAGGGAGACAAACCATAAGAGACTCTTAATCTCAGGAAACAAACTGAGGGTTGCTGGAGAGAAGGGAGTGGGAGAGATGGGGGGGTGGGTGGTGGACACTGGGGAGGGTATGTGCTATGGTGAGTGCTGTGAATTGTGTAAGACTGATGAATCACAGACTTGTACCCCTGAAACAAATAATACATTATATGTTAATAAAAAATAAAAAAAGAAAGAAAAATGATTTTGACCTCCAACCCGCTAATATACAAAGAAAGAGTCTTAATCTACATCAAAAGATAGGTGAATAAATGTACTTTTTTTTGTTTGTTTTAGGCTAAAATAAAATGTTTAAGATATCTTTTCTTCAATTACCCAACCACCCATTGGTCCCAATCAAGTCTAATTAGGGGGGTTTCTCCAACTTCACAGGACAGCTGTAAAATTAAATGACAAAACATGTGAAAGTGCTTCATAAATTAAATCGTGCAATATAAATATAGATATAAACTATCTTCATTAAAATGTAATAAATATATGCCACCAGATTTTAGTTCTTTTGATGCTATACACCAAATACAGACCAGGAGAGAAAGTAGGTATTTGAGAAACTATGTACTATTTACTGAGCACTTCCTTGGAATGTTACTGATACAGCTAACGTGTATGCACAGTATGGAAAAGACTGTAGTCAAAAGAACAGACATGCTCACAGTCTGAGGTCTGGTTGGTGTCCATAAAAAAGAAGCACAAACAGAGAGTATGTTCAAATCAGGACGGAGACCATACACTTCAATTAATTATTACCAAACAAAAATGGCATCGGTTCATTTCAACCACAAATGGATAGAGCTGGTGTTGTCTATTTGCCAGTTTTTAAACTGAAGCTACATCACCACCTTGGCTTCCAGGAACGGGTGGTCTTGGCCCCAGGAGAGCACACAGTGCAATGCGCCCATCTTCTCATAGTCTAGCCGCGTGTTCCATAGGAACTGTAGTAAGTACGACTGGTTGAGGACCGCCCTGGAGAGCTTTCCAGAACACCAATCCAGTACCAGGGACCCTGAGAGTGACTGTAAAGGACTATGAGGTAGCATATCAACCACTTCATTGTTTCCTGGCCAAAAAAAAAAGAGGAGATCAGCAAATAAAAGAAACCCTTCTCACCCTCACCCAAATATAACCATTGCCAAGACAAATCCAAATGGGCCATGTTCATGAGGGAAAGACCACAGCCATACCTGTCAGAAACAAACTGTGGCAGATCAGTTCCGGATGTTGGATGTTAAGTAGATGAAAGAAATGACCAGGTAAGTAAACAGCCACGTAATAATCTGTAGACGAGGAAGATAAAATTTATCTGCATGTGGCAAGAGCTGCACAAGGCAAAGAGAAAGCCCAGAACTTCACAGTATCCCTATTTGTCTTTGAACCTCTTAAAACATAAAAGTTTTGATCAACGTGATACTAAACTGTCTGATGTCAGTACATTTCATCTTACTAGCTAGGTCTCATTTATTTCTATCTGTGGCTAGTTTTCTTCATACATTTAGTCATGGTTATCTTAATTGATATCTGTAATTTTGAGTCTAAGTGAACTGTGGCTTTATATGAACTTAAATGACCTCTGAAAGTAAATTAGAAAAAAAATACCAAGCAATATGAATTATTCCTTTATCTGATAGTCTGGGAATAGCTTATAATGGGAATTTCCCTCCTCGTTTCTGCCAGTTGGGGGAAGCTCTAAAATTTTGTTTCCTATGTTTGCCCACTCGTCGTCATCATCACTATCATCATTGTCATTTTGTTTAGAGAACCCTTAAATTGATATTCATCAAAACAATCTCTGTAGGCAATCTCACACTTGACGAAGTACTAATATATTTCCTTGCATAGTGAGCTGCCAAGAATTCGCACCTTCACAGCCCCTGCGTTTGATAATTTTGTACCAAAAACACTTGTACACAGATTGAGACAAGATGTAAAAATAGGTTTCTGGAGAATGGGAAGGTGGAAGTAGCCCTTGCCAATAATTTTTCACACAATAGCAGTGAATTTCAGACAGATGACACATTTAGATTATAGTGAGCCAGCTGGACTCTTTTTTCCTAAGAGGCAAAGAAATACATGCTAATCATTTGCAAAGAAGGCATTCAGTGGACTGGAAAGGAAAATAAAGAGGATGTAAAACTCAAAGCAATTGACTTAAGAAAGTGTCCTCTTGGTCACCGGGGATTAAGTGATGTTGAAGTGAGTAGCACAGGGTGCCTGGGTGGCTCCGTCAGTTAACTGTCTGCCTTCGGCTCGGATCATGATCCCAGGGTCCTGGGATCGAGCCCCACATTGGGCTCCCTGCTCACGGGAAGCCTGCTTCTCTCCCACTCCCCCTGCTTGTGTTCCTTCTCTCGCTATGTCTCTCTCTCTCTCTCTCTCTGTTGAATAAATAAATAAAATCTTTAAAAAAAAAAAAAGTAGCACAAATGGCTGCAATAATATTCTTATTATGGCAACATTTAAGTAAAAAAACACAAATAATGATAAAATAGGGTATGGTGGAAAGGGTTTAGGCATCAAACAACCTAAATAAATTCTTAGCCCTAGCATTTAACCAGTTAACTAGGGTGGTAACTACATCCCTGGGAGAAGAGGCATTTGGAAATATATGAGGGTGTTTTGAGTTGTCACAGTCATTGGAGTGGAAGGGGGAGTCCTCCTGCCATTTGGTGAAGGTTGTTAAAACCCTCAATGTGCAGGACACTCTCACTCAAAAAGTACTGTCTCATCAAAAATGTCAACAGTACCTGTGGTAGGCCAAATGACGACCCTCAAAGATGTTCATGTGCTAATCCCAGAGCCTGTAATATGTTACCTGAAGTGATAAAAGGCACCTTGCAGATGGGATCAAGGATCTTGGGATGCGGAAAGTATCCTGGAGTATTCAAGTGGACCCAATGTAACCATAAATATATTTACAGAAGGGAGGAAGAGGGAGAGTGGACTACAGAGGAGAAGATCATGCAAGGATGAAAGAGATGGGAGTGATGTGGTCATAAACCAAGAAATGCTAGCCTCGAGATGCTGGAGGAGGCCAAGGATGAATTCCTCCCCAGAATATCCAGAAGGAACCATTTCTACCCACACCTTGACTTTAGCCCCTCAAAATTCATTTCAGAATTCTGACCTCTAGAACCAAAAGACAAAGTTTATGTTGTTTTAAGCCCTAAATCTGTGATAATTTGTTATAGCAGCAATAAGAAACTAACACAGTGCTTCTGATAAGAGACACCAAAAGGAGCCTGGGCACACACCTTTCTGAGCCTCAGTTTCATTATCTGTATAATGAGGATAACATCACCAAGCAGAATTGTTGTAAGGATCAAGATAACCGAAATAACATGCTTAGCATATAGTATTTATTTTTTAAATGGTAGGTTTTTATTAACAAACATATCTTTCTTATAAAGAGGTGTTTGGGTTCATGGAAAACCTCTCCAAAACTCTCTTCTTTAATATTTTAATCACTATGTCCCTTTTAACAGGGTGACAATTTAGGACAATTGCATGCAATAGGAAAAAAAGACATCACTCAAAAAGCAATACTATTGTCATAAAAAATTACCTAGTTTTAATCTTGGGTATAATTTTGTGCCAAAAAGATAAAATGCATATAGGAAGGAAACATAACTTATGTAAGAGCCTATTTTACAAAGCTCTAGGATTTTTGCCGACTCCACAGTCTGAAGAACATAGATTAAATCATGCCTGCTCTTTTCTAGAGTCATTCTCAGGGGGAAAAAAAGGAAGGCTACCTTTGACCTCACAAAATGCTAAGTTTTTTTTTAGTGGAAAGTTTCCCACATCACTCTTGAGATGTGATGTTGATGTAGCATTCTCTGATAAGAATCAAGTCTCAGACCCAGGAAACCTTATATTTATCTCTCTTACCACAGGAAGCGGTAGAATCAGGCCTCTCTGAGGCAATTTCCCACAGGTTCAAAGCTCATGTTAACATTTACCACATACTGGCCCACTCAGCATTCGCTATCTCACCTCATCTATAGTATTGTTCAAAAGAAAAATCTTTTTTATGAACTTTATCATTTTCTTTTTTTTTTAAAGATTTTATTTATTTATTCATGAGAGAGAGAGAAGCAGAGGGAGAAGCAGGCTCCTGGCTGAGCAGGGAGCCCGATGCGGGACTCGATCCCAGGACCCTGGGATCGTGACCTGAGCCGAAGGCAGACACTTAACCATCTGAGCCACCAGGCGCCCTGAACTTTATCATTTTTGTTCTCATTTTGCCCAGATCCCTCATATCACACCTTCCTAAACCTTTGTCGTGATAGTAGACAGACTGGGGAACAGGAATAGGAAAACATATTAAAGAATCATGTGCTCAAAACCTGAAGTTTTTCTTTTTTGAATATTGTGCCATGTCCCATAGGTAGGCAAGTAATAGTTCTGTTACTTAGTCTTGTGCTAACCTGTTTGTGCCCCTCATCCCAACTGATATGGAAAAGCAGCTTTTGGTAGGTTGGTACAATAAACCCTTCCTCGATTTTCTTCATTATAGACTCCATTAATATGTTCAAACCTAACACTCAAGTTCCCTTACTATATTTACTCAGTGGAAATCAACACATTGAAGCTGATCCCTAAATCATTTATAGGACTTGGAAGCTCTTAGCAATTAGCAACAGGGAATGGGCAATTTCTCAAAGAACTTTGTCCTCTCTAGAATCAAGGGACAACATGATGTATTATTTCTCATAGGCTTTTAGGGTACATCCCATTCACTGGCATCATTTTTTTTTAAGATTTATTTATTTATTTATTTGAAAGAGAGAGAGAGAGAACAAGTGGGGGCAGGGTGGGGGAGGGAAGAAGGACACAGGGCTCAATCCCAGGACCCTAAGATCATGACCTGAGCTGAAGGCAGATGCCTAACCAACTGAGCCACCCAGGTGCCCCTGTCATCATCTTTAAAATAACAAATGGCTTTTTAGGATTACTACTAAAAACTAGGGAAGCTCACAGCCTAGCTTCTCTAAAAATGGAGGTGCATCCCCTCCCCAAAAGGCTGATCTGAATGGGGGACACAAATATGTTCATTAGGATTGGTCTATAGGCCTAGAAAAAGATACAGGTCAGGAAAAAATATATTATAAAAATATTAACTAACTTAATACATTTGACCCTTGAACAACAGAGAAGTTAGGGGTGCTAAGGTTTCCAGAGAAAATCTTCCCCTCTCAGGCTTCAAAAAGGTTAGTGGTTGTCATCACAATCCAAGTCCTACAGAGGCAGGAGAAAATGGGGTGCACAGATCAGAAAATGGAGATATAAAAGGCTGAGTATCACATGTACTCGAAAGGCAGGTCAGAGCAGAGAGATGCATTTCTCTCTCACTCACCAAGGTTGAGAAAAGTAAGGCCCTTAGTCACATGTGAGTCAACACTCCCAAGAGCAGCAGTGAAGGTCTTGCTGTGCCCTGTGGAGAGAGAACAGGAAGCCCAGGAAAGAATGGTAAGAAACAAAGAGCCGGAATTCCACCCAAGGCTATACTCTATGTAATACTCTTAACCTTTAGGAGCTGTGAGACTGACCTAGCAAGGGTCTCTGACTTCTAGATTTCATGGTTCTCTATCATTCTCCAAAAGCCCGCACAGAAGGTGGATTACAGTGCAATCAGGATCCAATCGTTGTTCTGGGCTTGTATAATATTAGACCTGATAAGATGGGTTGTGCTGGGACAGAAGGATCTGAAAGAATCTACAAGATCCAAGAGATGGAGGAGACCAGGTGGCTCACTGGCCCTCATGGTTTACCTCATGTTCTTGTCGTCCTTAAGAGCTCCCGGGACTTCTCTCAGTCATTCAGAAGGGCAGTAGACTATCAGCTAAACTCAGTGTACTGGGTTTCACTCTCCGCTTTTCTAACTCTTCATCAGAATTAGTAACCCTTAATAAAACTTTCATTAAACTTTTACTTATGGTTTGAACCAATATATGAATCATTGGAAAAATGTATGAAAACTTTCCACAAAAGAAAAATCCAACTTATGCTATTAAAGCATGTCTACTTCTGAAATGGCATTTAGTTTCTTCATTATTGAGCTGTTAAACCTTTTTTACATAGATTTCTAACTACTGAAGATAATGCTAGGCACTCCTGCAAAATAAACTCTGGTGTGGTCTGGCATAGCTTTTTTTTTTTTTTATTAAAAAAATTAATTCTACCCACAGTATGTACTACATAAATACTAATTTTAAGGAACTAAACAAGCAAAATAAATGCACCTTAGCACAGTTCAGACTAAAACTATTAAAGGGCACACTGGCCAACAACAGAACTAGAAAAGCTTGGGCACTTCTCCCTGCAGGCTGATTGCTGACAAATCAGTTTCCCGGGCTGCAGATGTGGGAATCGAAATAAAGGTATTTTAGGTCTAGGACCTGTTGAGATCTGAACTGATGGTGCTTTTAACTAAAACTCTATGTAACCTTGTAAGTTAAATATATCGATTTTTTCCAACTATTAATAATAAAAAAGCAAACAAACACACTTTGGATAAATATGTCTATAAGGATTGGTCTACCTGCAGGCCTAGAAAAAAATATAGGTCAGGAAAATAATATAAAAATATTAGCTAACTCAATACAGTTGACCCTTGAACGACAGGGAGTTTAGGGGTGCAAATCCCTGAGCAGTCAAAAATCTACATGTAAGTTTTTGGGGAGTCAAAAGTTAACCACTACTGTTAACAAAAGTTAACAACTACTGCTGACCAGAAGCCTTTCTGATAACATAAACAGTCAACTAACACATAGTTTATATGTTGTATGTATTATGCACTGTATTCTCACAGTAAAGAACAATGTTATTAAAAGAAAGAAAAAGAAAAATGTAATTAAGAAAAATTATAAGGAAGAGAAAATATATTCACAGTACTATACTGTATTTTTTTTAAAAACCCTGCATGTAAGTGGATCTGTGCAGTTTAATTCCATGTGGTTCAAGGGTTAACTGTATTCATCATTAGTGAATTTCTTTAGGGAACATGTATTACACAGGCATACAGGTATAGAATGTACTGATAAAATTTATTACCAGGTAGTAGGACTTTAAAATTTATGTAACTTGCTACTATTTGGAAAGAGTGATTATGTAAAAATAAAAAATTAAGAATAAATGACATGTACCTTTATGAAAGTAAAACACTGAATATGTGATTTTTTCCCAAGAGTCAAACTTCGGACTGTAACATACACACAAAGTTCCTAGAAGTAAGAAGGTATTATTTAGTAGAGCTGAAAAGAATCATAGACAAATAAAGTTTCCTAAGCCACTTAACCTTACTTCTCTTGCTTTAGATGTTCTGCCTCAACTTACCTCATAGATTATTCCCAAATTCTAGAGATGGTTTATTAACAAGCTGCTAAGAAATTTCAACTCAACAATTACTCAGCACACACATAAGTAATAAACTGTGGTAAGCTACTGAAGGATAGGAAAATGAATAGAAATACACTCTTGCATATGAAATCATGGGAGTCTAGAGGAGTTTACAAAGGAGATTCTCCTAATATACACATATTGCCCTGCTCTCTTATTTAGCTTGCCTTCTGGCCATTACTAATAGTTATAGACCCCGGTTTGCCAAAATGTCTCCTCTTTACAGACAGTTTCCGGTCTTCTTTTTTATCTGGAATTGGAAGGCAAACTGAGGCAATAAGAGCAAGTGTGTGTTGGCCCATACCCACCCATATTTGGGTCACTGAGAACCTTGGCCCAAGTGCAAAGGAGAGAGCTCCTGGCACAAAGTGGTCTTTCCAGATGAGCCCTGACCACCTTCACTTACCCCATCACTCCAGAACACTCTCAGCCTCCACCTCCTCTAGAATATGAGGAATAGTCCAATGTGGAATATGTCCATCATCTCTAGCAGCTGTTGCTAGATATGTAGACTAGATAAGCTCATCAAAGACCTACCATGGAGGGCATTATGCCGAAACCGATACTTCTAGTGTTAACATTTATATGATTACCTGAAACAGGAGATTTCCAGGGTGGAAAGGAATTTGACCAGGGTCTAGAAAGCTGAGTTCTAGTCCCAGAGCTAAAATTAACTAGCTGCGTGAATTCAATCATTACTCTACTTCAGTGAATAGCAATATTTCCACTGTTATACTTCACTAGGTCATTTATCAAAGAATCATGGTGGTAAAAAAAAAAAAGCCAATTTTTCTCTAAGAAGGCTATTTAAGGACATTAATGAGCATTCTGTTATAATGTTTATCATTTGTGACCATTTTTACTAACATTTAAAACTGCACCATATTGTTAGAAGTACATTTTATTGCAGTATCTTAGATGGAAAATAACAAAAAAAAGAAAAATTTTATCAGGTAAAAACAGTAACAATTCTGTTAGATGTAAAATTACTGTTATGGTTATTGAGTACACAATAATAACTTCTCTTTAAAATTACAGCAGACTCACTAAGAATCAAAGTAACACTATACTAAAGCATAAACAAAAATAGTAATTATAACAGTTAAAAAAGTTCCATGTACCACTTGGACTACTTTCATAAAGTAAACATACTACCAGCAAAAAACTACTGGTTCATCCTGTTCTTTTACGTTCTACGATCACAAGGAGAAAGAACTATTTAGCAAGCATAGTTAAAACTTTAGCCGCTCTGGTAATAACAAAATAAAAATTTTTTAAAGGCACCGTATTTTTCCTTTCCAATTAGCAAAGTTTTTAAAATGATAATCAATTCTGTTAAGGGAGCAGTAGGAAGAACGTTCTCAAATAATAGAGGAGGAAGCTAGTACAACCTCTCTGAAATACAGTTTTGTAGAGGATTAAATATATTCATACCTGTCAACTCAAATTCTTCTTGTAGGCATCTATCATGAGGCATGAATATGAAATGTCAACAATATAAAGAAGATTATATTCCCCATTCTAGCAAATTCCTCCACACATCATCCTTTAGAGAATGGAGGTCATCATTTTTGTTTTGAAGAAAGTTAAAGTGAGGTGTAGAGTAAATGTACCTAATGACATACACCAAGAGCCATCTTTAGATCTCATAAGCAAATATTTCCAAATTTGGTTGTAGCTTAATTCCCTTTCCCAAGCCCAAAGGGGGGTGGGGGAGATAAAGACATAGCGAGATGACATGTGATGTGCATAGACTCTGTAAAGCTTGTCCCATCATAGAGTTTTCTTTGATAATGGAAATGTTTTATGTATGTCTTGTCCAAATTGGTAGCCACTAGCTACACGTGACTATGGAGCACTTAGAATGTAGCTACTGTGACTGAGGAACTCTTTTTTATTTAACTTTAATTAACTTAAATGGCCACATGTAGCTAGTGGCTACCATAATGGACAACCCAATGGAGCACTGGTTCTCATACCTTGAGAGTACATTAAACTCACCTGGGACTCACAGATTCTCAAGCTTCCCATTAGATCAACTTAACCAGAATCTCTGAAGGTAAGACTGAGGCCAGGCATCAGTTTTGTTTTGTTTTGTTTTGTTTTGAGGGAGAGAGGGCTCTGTGGGCGGAGCAAAAGGACAGAGAATCCCAAGCAGGCTCCATGCCCAGGGCAGAGCCTGACATGGGGCTCTATCTCATGACCCTGAGATCATGACCTGAGCTGAAATCAAGAGTTAGATGCTCAACTGACCAAGCCACCCAGGCACCCGGGCATCAATATTTTTTAAATGTGCCTGGGGCAGGGTGCCTGGCTGGTTCAGTTGGTGGAATGTGCGACTCTTGATCTCAGGGTCATGGGTGTGAGCCCCATGTTGGTGTAGAGATTACTTAAATAAGAAAATAAACTGAAAAAATAAATATAATGTGACTGGGGCAAATTAATAAAATTCTCTAAACCTCAGTTTCCTCATCTGTAAATAAAGAAAATATAGAACCGGGTGCCTGGGTGGCTCAGTTGGTTAAGTGACTGCCTTTGGCTCAGGTCATGATCCTGGAGTCCCGGGATCGAGTCCCACGTCGGGCTCCCTGCTCAGCAGGGAGTCTGCTTCTCCCTCTGACCCTACCCCCTCTCATGTGCTCTCTCTCTCTCTCTCATTCTCTCAAATAAATAAATAAAATCCTTAAAAAAAATATAGAACCTACTTCATATAGTTCTTACATAAGAATTAAATGAGATAATATGTATAAAGCTCTGATGAAGAAGTTATGTCTGGCTATAAAGGTTAGCTGTGATTATTATTATTCCAGAATGATTTTGCTACTATTTACAAGTTGGGGGAAGTTGCAGTTTGAAAAAACAAAGCATGCTCTTAATGGTGTATCCAGAAAGAGATGTTTAATAAATATTCATCAATGACGAAGATAAAATCTCAAAGTTGGCTAGCCTTTGGGAAACTATTTGGACAATGAAAGCTATTATAGATGAAGTTTTCCAAGGGAAATTATCTCATTGTAAAAGGCTCTATAAAATGCTAAAACACAGGACTAATTCTGGGAACTTGTGGAGGGCAACTCTTACAATTATATGAACAGGAAAGAGAATGTACACTTTTCACCCCTTACCACCTCCCAGTGGATGGTGCACAGAAAGAATGACAGCCACTGACTTAAGCGCAGCTGCACGGTTGACTGTTAGATGGGACAGGAATAAGAATATTTCCTTCCCTTCACTGCTTTAGGAAGTCTCTGATTTACCCCCCTGCTAGAAACCATTTTTAAAAGTCTACACGAACTCAATCTTAATATGGAAGCTTTTGCCCACCTCTGCCTCTCATGAGCAACCCCCTCATCCAGATTTTAACCTCTCGTGTCTTGGAAGGTAGGGGATTTCATTTCTTTTCTTTCTTTCTTTCTTTCTTTCTTTCTTTCTTTCTTTCTTTCTTTCTTTCTTTCTTTCTTTCTTTCTTTCTCTCTCTCTCTCTCTCTTTCTTTCTTTCTAAGATTTTATTTATTTATTAGAGAGAGAGCGCGCGCACAAGCAGGGGGAGTGGCAGGCAGAGGGAGAAGAGCAGACTCCCCACCGAGCAAGCAGCCTGACGCGGGGCTCGATCCCAGGACCTTGGGATCATGACCCAAGCCAAAGGCAGATGCTTAACAGACTGAGCCACCCAGGCATCCCGGGGATTTCATTTCTTAGGGCAGGAAAATTCAGGACAAAGATGCTTTCAAGAATAACAAGTAACGCTGAAAGGACCAAGTAGCTCCCAATGACCAATATGGGACAAATGAACATCAAATATTGTGATAGCATCATCACTGATGCAACATTGCGTTTGTTTAAGACCCCGAGTCTGTCAGCATCTTTTTCATGAACCATGTTCTCTGGTCTCCATGCCCATGGGAAATGAAGCTCTCTGGTGTAGAGGGAGCCATACAGGGATTAGACTATTTGCTCCCTTCTCCATTCCTACTTCAGGTTTTCGTTTGTTTAACCACAAAGGCGAAAAATCATTTTTAAAAAGTAATTTGGGAAATACGTGAGCTGACAGCTTATTGGTTAAAAACCAAAAGGTTGCTTCTCTGGCTTGCTGCATCCTAAATAGGGACACATCCCACTTGGAACCGGCTTATTTCGAGTTCAGAGCTGATTGTGAACAGCAAAAAACTCATTTTCGACTTTCCTAGACATTGCTGAGAAAGGAAAGAACAGACTCTTCCACGTCTCGGGCAGATAAACCTAACATTTGATGTCATAGATCGCCTGTTTATAAGTTTTAGCTGCTACCGTTGATGAGAAACTCCTGTGGGGATAAAATGAAAAGGAATAAAAGCTTCAAAGAGTGAAAGCCTAAAATGATTGTTTATAGTCAACAGACTTAAAGTGAAGTAGGAAGAACCTACCCTGGCCCCTCCACGCAAGCTCTGGGTCCCGTTACCTTCCCACTTGCGCAGCAAATGCGCTCGGCCAGTTCTTCCTATCTGCTGGGTAGTCGTCTTTTCTCTTGCCTTGTAAGTGTTCAAGCACACTGGAGTCTCTACCATCTTCAAAAATAATATTCCCTGAATCCTACTACCCCTTCTAGCTGCTGCCTCTCTCATGGCTACACCTCCCACGTGCTATTTCACCGGCACCACCACCATTTCTCCTCGGTCACGCAACACAGAGTACTCCCGTTAACCTTCAGGCTGCCAGACCCCGTAGACTCCACCTCTCACTACCTATTAACAGTTGGCCACCTTCCCCTTTGTGAAACCCCCTCTGCCTTTGGCTGCTATAGTAAAACACTTGGTTTCCCCCTTTTCTCTCCATTCTTTTTTTCTTTTTCTTTGGATATGCCACCCAACCTTTATATATTTTGCTGCTCAGATCTTATTCCTAAGTTTCTTCCCTTTTAACCCTATATTCCTCCCATGGCTTCAAATGCCCACTACAGTCTTAAAAACCTCCATACTTATTCCTGCCCTGTTCTGACCTCTCTTCTAAGTCCCAGATCTCTCAGTTGACACGTCCAAAACAACCCTCACCGTCTCCCTTTCAAAGCCCCACCTAAACCACTACACCTCAGTAAATGGCACCACTATTCACCCATTCTCTTATGCCAGAAACCTGAGAACCATTCCTTGCCAGCTAACTGACAGCAAGGCTTCTCAGTTCTATCTCTAAATGCATCTCAAACCCATCTAGTTACCATTTCTGACACCCACCCAGGTTCAAGCCATCCTCCACCCAAATGTAGGACTACAACCTCACCCTAACTGCTCATCTCCCCACTTTTTCTCTTGCCTCCTCCAATCCATTCTTCACATGGCAGCCAGCGATCTTTCAAAAATACACATCTAATCACATCACTGCCTGCTTAAAACGCTTCAGTGAAGGAGCATCAAGGAGTGCCATGTGAAAAGTTGTTGGGGAATGGGGCATTCATACCGTGCCAAAGTAATACTTCACAGATTACTCATGCAAAGATTAAAATGTACCTTTTTAAGGGAGATTGACAGTGGTTACCATGTAACTGAATGACCAAACTTGGCATTGCAAATAGTAGAACATCCTGACATTATGTGTCTCCTGATCTGATGCAAGTAAATTTCACAATATCACCCCATGAAGTGTTCTTATGAAAAATTTTTAACCTATGTGTAATGGTGTCTTTCAGTCTAACTACCAATTTTCAGAGAATGTGGAGGATAGAGGAAGAAGTTAAACACTTCCACAAGGAAACAATTAGACAAATCCAGAATGTAGGACATTCCACAAGGTAACAAAATATCAATGTTGTGAAAGAAAAACAAAGGGGGTAGAGGATAGAGGGAGGGAAGTGATCTATATTAAAACAGATGACAAAGACATAATAACCAGAAATAATACATAAGTCTTGATGGCATCCTGACTTTAAAAGTTATACACATGCATACATTTATTCATTTGTATACATACACACATGTAACACATATGCATATACATACACATAGAGAATATACACATATAGGACTTTTTTTGAAATCATTATGGAAATTTGAATATGAAATAATTATTATTAGTGTGATTAATTTCTTTCAGTGATAATGGAACTGAGGTTATGTAAAAGAGTGTCCTTGACCTAAGGAGATACATGCTGAATTATTTAGTGGTAAAGTGTGAGGATGTCTGCAATTTACTTTTGAGGGGTTTAATCAAAAGGAAGAATGTGGTACCTATGCATGGGGAGAATGAGCAAGCAAATATTGTAAATGACACAATTAAGTAAAAGGTACATGAATGTTCATTCTGTTCTTGAACTTTTCTGTAATGCTTGAACATTCTAAAAATTAAAAAAAAAAACCCTTTAATGACCTTAGAACTCTGAGAATAAAATATAAAATCTTTCATGGTCTGCAAGGCCCTACATTACCTGACTCAAGCCTACTCTTCAGCTCTCACCCATGGTCTTCTCTGGCTTGCTCACTCTACTTCAGTCACACTGTTCTTAGTTCATAAAGACCCTACAAGTCTCAAGTGAAATATCATTTCCTTCCCTAAACTCCCAAAACTGGTTTATGGAGGGACTTAATGTCTGAGAGAAACTGGAAAAAATGGGATGGATTATGGAGTGAGATAGCAAGGGGGACAATTTTCAGGACTAAGACAGAATGGGACACAATGTCCTGGAGGGTAAGACCAACAGGGATAGACTAGCTGAACTAGAACATATCTGAAGATACTAGCATCTACCATTAAGCCTCCATTATATACTCTCATAACTTCCTAATTCCTACAATTTATCAATATTCTATTAAAGTACTATGTGTGCACTTATTTAATGTCTAAACTCCAAACAATAACCTCTGTACTAATAAAAATTAGGTCCATTTTGCTCATCATTATCTCCAGTACATAGCACACAGTAAGTCTCCATAAACATTGGCTTAGTGAATACCACATAATTTGGATTTAAAGGAATACAGTTTTACTCCAAGTGCTACTTAACTCAGTGGTAACTGCCCACTCAAGCTAGGGTATTTAAAAAGGCTATTGGATTTAGTTATTAGAGTTGACTGTGTAGACAATTACGTACACTAATAACTTTATGTCAAGCTTTGATTGTTAGCTCAGTAAGTTATAGAATTGTTCTTAGAGAAGCTAGGTACATAGGTTTAGAACCAAATATATCAGTAAGCCTGACACAAAAAGCATCCCCATAATTGGACGCCATTTGTTAAAAGATGGAGCAGATGAAAATGTAGATCAATTACACATGAATCTACCTGACCCTCTATTAAAAAATACAAATAACTATTAGAACAATAACCCTGCTGACTGTGGCTTCTTTCATACAAACAGAGAATATATAAAATTGCAGTGGAGAAGATAATTTGGTATATAAATATCCATCTGATCACTTAAGTAAGATTGTGGTTCTATTATACTTTAAGGATCCATATGGCTAAAGAAATGACTACATTTTTTATAGAACTCAAGCATAGTTGAATAAGTTGATAAATACAATCCTGGTTCTACCTGTATGGTTGGTAAAAACGCACAGGGTCAGGTGTTTGGATAAGTTCTCTTGGTCTTGAAGATCATCACATCCAAAGTTTACAAGTCTAAGGACATAAAGGATAAGAAACTGAATGCATTTAAAAATTAGTTCCCTCTTTCACTTAATGCAGTGAGCATTGCATAATCGACTGTGTCATACACTTGAAACTAATATAATACTGTATGTCAACTACACTTTAATAAGAAGAATTTTTTAAAATAAAAAATAAAGTTCCTTTATAAAGGATAGTAACCACTATAACATACCCACAGAAGTAGAGACTTGTCAAAAAAAAAAAAAAGTAGAGACTTGTCCCTGAGAAATTTTAGTTGTTTTATTTTTTTGTTTAAAAGTTCTATAAAACTAATAAAAAAAAATACATAATTGGCATGGCCCTGGCAATAAAGGAAAAAAAATAAAAACAGAAGTTGAAAGTAATAAAACTTTTTTTCTAAAGTGCTGCATATACAGTTTCAAAGCAAGAACTGAGTGTTCATATGTGATGAAATAAAGCTAGTGAAACATAGAACAGTTTAGGATTATCATTATTCTAATTCAAGAAGACTTTCATTTCTTCTGTGTACTAGTGGGCTTGTGTCTATTTTTCAAAAATGTTCATGTTTTTACTCTAGGTAAAATAGTCTGGGGGAAGAAAAGCTCACCTTTGTAAAGGTGTAAAAAGGAAAACAAATAGTAATGCAACAGACACAGCTGAGCCACACGTGGATTGACTGCAAACCCCTTCTCTTTGGTGGCAACAAGAGAAGGGGTTTGATGTTTGATTCTAAATGTAGCTCCGATTCATAAAATCCTTTTATTGAATCACAGGGAGAAGAGCACTTCCACGGATCAAAATAAACTGAAACATCCTATAGGAATAAATGGCTATGAAAATCAGTACGATTGACTTTACATGAAAAACCCTGTGTTCGTGCTTGATAAAGTTGTTTATATTGCCTATGGAGGACAGAAATATCAAAAGTCACACACACACAAACACAGAATATCGAATTGTCCTTATATCTGCATACCATAAATTAGGTATAAATACAATCATTCTGCCCACGAGTGTCTTTAAAAATTAGCAGTAATCAATGAGTAACTTACTTAAATCCTGAGTCACTTAATGTTATATCCAAGGGTGCTTCAAACTGTCAAAAAATCATGAGAAAACAAACCAAAAAAATGACATTAATTTAGCGATGATAGTTCTGAAACCCAGAGCAAGTCTGACAATGCTGTGCTTGCCTATTGATGAAGAGCCCTTTTAACCATCATTTTCTTCAGACGTTATCCCCCAGATCCAGAGCACAGAAAGTCCATTGGGAATATTCTAGAGTTTACACACAATCACAGGCTTGGTGTATATTTATTTCTTTAAAGGGCTAATACCTGACAAACTGCCTCAGATTTGAATATCATAAATGATATGATACGCCAATCAGTAGGGGTAGACTTTTTACAAGATACAGATGACCATGCACAGAGGGAAGGACTGGACGTCTTTAGGAGGATGAATGAGTTTAAAAAAAGGGGGGGGGGCAGGAGGAATAAATGAAATTCTTGTAATGGTATGATATCAATCTATATTAGACACCAATACTAATCCTAGTGAAGAATAAATTTCTCTTTATCACAGGTAAAGATATTTAGGATTCCTCACTAGAAGACTAGCATTCCAAATGGCTTTGCCAGGAGTGATGCTAGATTTTTACTAATTAAACTATACACTCTCATTGATGTTTTACCCTACACTCAAATCCACCATCCTCACAAGTCTTTTGGGCTCAAATGATTTGTAACCACTTAAAGCTATCTACATAGACCATACCTATTACCTTCTGCAAATCCTCACTCATATGCTTGTGTCTTTAATGAGAGGCATTCAGTTAGCAGAAATTTCCTGTGTGCTCTTCGAATCACCTATGTTAATTGTATTTGTTATACAGCTGAAGCCTTGAGATGACAAGAACTATGTTACTTGCTCATGCAAGTGATGAACATGAGAATGCTAAAATGCTGTTTCTGGTAACAGCTCTCTTTAAAAGGAGGCCACATGTTATAAAATTTCCTATAGCCCATTCTCTGGACTTACCATTAAGTTAAACTTCTCATCAGCAGAAAACTGGATGCATTTTAAGACACTCCTTGATTTCTAAAAGAAAAAACAGAATAAATGACAAATTACAAAAAAGAAAAAAAATCAACAAAGGGGCACCAGACTGGCTCAGGTGCTAGAGTGTGCAACTCTTGATCTTGGGGTTGTGAGTTTGAAACTCATGTTGGGTATAGAGATGACTTAAAAAAAATAAAATCTCTAAAAAAAGATCAACAGGGAAGGCTGTGTGGCTCAGTCAGTTGAGCGTCCGACTCTCGGTTTCAGCTCAGGTCATGATCTCGGGGTCATGGGATCAAGCCCAGAGTCGGGCTCTGTGCTCAGTGCAGAGTGTGCTAGAGATTCTCTCTCTCCCTCTGCCCCTCCCTCACTGATGTGCATGCACGCACATGCTCTCTCTCTAAATAAATAAATAAAATATTTTTTTAAAAAGATTTTATTTATTTGACAGAGAGAGCAGGTGAGCACAAGCAGGGGGAGTGGCAGGCAGAGGGAGAAGCAGGCTCCATCCCAGGACCCTGGGATCATGACCTGAGCCAAAGGCAGACGGTTAACCGACTGAGCCACCCAGGTGCCCCAAATAAAATCTTTAAAAAACAATAAAAATAAAAGATCAACAAAAACATTAGTAAAAAAGAAAGAGAGAAAAGGAAGCAACCACGAGGCAAACAGTAATGAAAATATTTCATATTTTTAATAAACTTCCATTGATTGTCCCCATCAATGAAAATGCAGTGATTAATAAATTATAATAATGGTAATGTCACAATTAAGTTGTACCAGTAAAAAGCAGGCCAGTGGACTAGCTTTTACCTTCAGGTCAATGTAGTACAATCTCTGCTCTGACATATCCCATTGAGCCCAAACAAAATCCTCAGCTACTCTCTCTCTTGGGAGATGGCCAGAGTCTTTAAGTACCTAAAGAGGCAAAGAGATTTTAGAGATAAGCAACCATTTTAAAGGAGAATATTTCTGGATTTATTATTTTGCCTATTCTATCTTCATAATAAATATAAATATTTCCACAGTTTATTTTTAGCATTCTCTTACCCCTAACACATACACATGGAAAGTCTTTCCAGAAAAGATTTAAGGCATTATTTAATTACTTGCTCTTTCCAAACACTCTATAAAGAACTATATTATTCTTGTCCCTAATTAGCCAGACAGGATGGGGCTGTTGAAGGCAAGGCCACACCTACCACAAATCAACACCAGGGCCAACAGAAGATTCAAAGCTTCCCATTTTATACATAACCCACTCAGGTATTTGCAGACAAAAGGGCTTCACCACCAAAGACAGCAGCTGTGATGCCAAGGAAAAAACTCAGGCCCTGGGGGTAGGGGAGCACTGCCCCTCAGATCTGCCATAAGCTATTCATGTGTCTTTGGTCATGCTTCTTACCTTTATGTCTTCCACAGTGAGTATGGTGATACTGCCCATCCTTCAAGACCCAACTTAGGCATTGCCTCCTGTATGAAGCCCTCCCTCACCTCCTCTCAAGGCACGGCTCCCCACCTCTGTATTCCTATGGTACTCTGGCATACTTAACTAATGCTATAAGTCTACCCCGATGAGTATGCACTCTCCTACAACATCTTTATATTCTCAACTTTTGTTCTCAATAAGATTCTAAACTTTGGGCAACACATCTTGTTTCCATTTTTCTGAAATTTGTTAAATTAGAACAGATTTGGGGACTCTCAGATAAGGGTATATACTGACAAAAACCTGATCATCAGAGTGTGGCAACACAGATTCACATCTCAATTTTTTCCCTCTCTAGAGTTCCCTCACCTCTGTGAGCCTTGCTTGTTGTATTCTCTGTAAACATGGGGATAATTATAACACTGCCTACCTACCACAGGATGTTGTTATGAATGCATGGAACCGCACACTGCCTTAAGAAGCTATCATCTAAGCCCTTAAGAATAAGGGTAGTGGGCGTGCTTGGGGGGCTCCATAGGTATCCGACTCTTGGTTTCAGCTCAGGTCATGATCTCAGGGTCCTGGGATCAACTCCCACCCCTGCTCTGTGTTCAGTGGGGAGTCTGCTTGAGGATTTCTCTCCCTCTCCCTCTGCTCCTCCCTCGCATGTGTGTGCTCTTTCAAATAAATAAATAAATCTTAAAAAAAAAAAAAAAAAGGAGGAGGAGGAGGAGGGGGAGGGGGACAGCGATACTTCAGAGAAGGGCAGGCAAGGCTGACGGTGTGCTGAGGCTACTCTGTGTTGGCCGCTGACAGGTGCCCTCTGGCCTCACTCTGCGGTATCTCCATGACTCCCAGCCCCTCTTGTAACCAGCCAGTCCTCTGTCTATACCCATTCCTGGTCTTGTTTATTTCACTGACCCTGAAATGTTTATGTGACTCTCTCCTCTAAATCCGCATTGCTGGCTTTGGGATTCTGCCTTCATTCTTCCTCTCTAGTCCGACTCTTTTCCGACCCCTGGCCCTGTCCATACCCCGACATCTGTGCCCAGCCACCGTGCCACTGGTGGCCCAGAGCTCCAGCCACACACTTTCTAGTCATTTTCCAGCCAGGCATCTTGATTTGAGGCTTTCAGTCAGAGATACATAATTAATAAATGCATTTTCCATTTCTATGTTCCTCACTTAACTTTAAAGTTAAAATCTTCAGAGAATGATTATTTTGATGCCAACTATTTAAATAGTAAAGGAAATAATTGTTAATATCAGTAATATATTATGCTCTTACACCAACTGTCAAGAAAAAGGCAACCCAACAGAAAAATAGACAAGGATATAACTAAGCAATTTTCAGAAAAACAAATTCACACGGCCAGTGATATTAACAGAAATACCAACTAAAATAATAATGTTATCAACTTAACACTCATCAAGTTGGATTTTTTTTTAAAACAGCAAATGGATCTATGACTGGTATGGATAGAGGGAAAGGGTGTTCTTACACATTGCTTGTACAACTGTGAATTGTTACAAGGTTTTTTGGAAACCAAGCTAGCAAAATCTGTTGAAACATATTAAATGCTATACCCGTCAACCCAATTATCCATCCCTGAGGATTTAGCCTAAAGAAATATGTGTACCAAAAATGTAAAGCTATTTAAAAAAAAAATTGAAATGATTTGTAACACAAAAAAGATGAAAAAAAAAAAGTGGCAATCAAGTGAGTGTCCACCCATGGGAGAATGATTGAAATTGTGTACATCCAGACCACGGACTATTATGTACCTCTAAAAAGAATGAATTGACCGCTTCTGGTTGACTTGTAGGTAATGCCACAAAGTTGAAAGAGGAAGGAGTGAATAATAAACCCCTGGGTGTGTCAGGGGTGGGGATGGGAAATACATAGGTTCAGAGAAGCGCATGAAAGGAGACATAATAGGTTATAGACAAAGATTAGAGGTGAAAAGGCAAGGAGAAGTGGAATATAAGCAATAAAAAGAAAAGAAAAAAACTGAACTATATGAATCCCCATAGGATCCCATTTATTCTATGTACGTCTAAAAATTAGGGAAGAAAGTTCCATCTCTATTTAAAAACCTATAGGGATAGCCCTGATATAGTAAGTAAAAAGCAAAAACAAAAATGGCCAATTGATAATCATATTATGATTCTATTTCGGTAAGAATGACTGAATCTGCGCATGTGCACCTTACCATGTGTGCGTGAGTATGAGCAAGGTGAAGGTGTGGAAGGAGTCCCACAAGGCTGCCCTGAGTTGTCTCGTGAGACTGAGACTGGAAAGTGAGGTCAAGATAAAGGAGGTAATTAACTCCCTCATACGTCTAGTCTTATTTCACATGTTACAACAGCAAGCCTATAATTTGTAAGACATCAAATAAAGAAAGTGGTCTGTGTCTATAACATAACTATCCTTAACAGTCTCGAAATGTCACTCTGCGGGGAAAAAAACTCCGAAGCAAAAGAGATTTCAAATATTTACCACTCTATTTCCATCTTCTTGGATGACCTGGATATGAATGTTCTCAATATCTTTAAAAAGAGAGACAATAGAAAGACAGTTTAACCTTTACGAAAATCATGAGCACTTTTTTACACCTAACAGCGGTGAATCTTTATTTAGAAAAGCAATACAGATTAATCAATTGGTTGGAAAGACAGTATTATCCCACACAGCAGTTTCATGATCTAAGTGCAAAACAAAACCCACCTTTCTCCAGACTCCCTCCACAGTCTACTGCTAATCCAGCATTTACCTTGCCCTTCAGTATCGACAACACATGAAGCATTTAGCCGTTCTACTCCCCTGGGTTCTCTCAAATGTTGGCCTTCCCTGCACCATCAGTCTTATTTGGAGCTAACAGGGGTTCACTGGGCAGAGTTTACCTCCAAGCACTTCTTGTATGGTCCCATTCTCTCAGTAAGCAATCTAGATTTGGCCATACTTAACCTTCTGCCAGTTCTAGTTGCCAAAATGTGAGACAGATAACTGGTCATGAGCATAGGCACTGAACACAAACCTAACCCTTTCAGGCCTGTCCTTCCCATTATAAATCAGCAAAGCAGTCCCATTTTGCAACATGAAAGACGGCTTCCTAGATAAGATCTGCCAATGGATTCTGAGCTTTCTCTGCCACCCTTCCCACCCGAAAGTGTAAACTTCATTAAGGGATGCCTCATTCTGATTTGTCTGTACCTGAATTTGACCAAGTATGTGTCTTCAAATTCTACCATCAGGTTCTTCTGGCTTCTAATACCTTTCCCTGTTTTGATCTGAGGTGACAGACACCTTAAAGAAGGATGAACTGAAGAAGGCAAAAATGACCTCCACAACTGTCCTACACTCTATTGTGTGACAAAAGTGGAAATCCATGTATGTAGGAGCCCATCATTCCCAGGATGGGGACACAGAGCAGGGCCTAAGGGAACAAGTGGGGGCAGAATGAAAAGCCCTTCCACAGGAGTGCTAGACCTTAAATGGACATCAAAGGTCAGTTGGACCTTTAGCACTGGTGAGTGGACATCTAGAAGATTCAGTCAAGTCCCATACTTCACTAAGAGATGTACCCTTTATGAAGTTCATATATACCACCTAAAAGATACACTTACATTTCTCTTCTGAAATCAGTAACAGATGGTTCTCTGCAAGAGGGTGACTTTCCACATGGGGGTAGAGAAACTGTAAAAAGGGAATTAATCAAAATCATAAGCAACTACCTTGCTTACACAAATATTGCAAAAGTTTCTGATCACTGTACTACCACATACCACAGAAGATACCGGGAACCATAGAATAGCTTAGGCAAATCACCTATACACACATTACAGACAGAAGCAAAGAGGAAAAAGAAACACTTTCAGGGGTTCAGTTTCCCAGGGGGAAATTGATGGCAGGTCCAACATAATTCATTTCCACAGTAAGGCTAAAGTAGAAGCTATTTCTAGAGATGGTGCTTTCTCTTTTAGAATATGTGATTCTGAAGCCAATCAGAAACAATATAAACAACAGCTGTATAAAAGTTCTTTTCCACATGCACCAAAAAAGTGATCAATACACCTGTTGTGCAACTAAACCTCGTATTTAATTTGACAACCAAGTAAACATATGCTCTACTACAGCTTCCAAAGTCCCACATCGAAGAGACAAAGCATAACGTAACGCGGGACTTTCCAAGAAAGAACAGTGAGTCACAGTGTGGCATGCGGTGGGGGATTTATAAGCCTCAAATAATAGTACGACTGCCACTGGGAAGAAAAGGCTTGATCCACCCCACTCCTCCTTCTCTGCGCTCTCCCATATGTGTCAGCCCACAGGACAAAGCAGCCAGCCAGAAACACAGGCCTGATGCTATGAGCTGTGATAATGAGGGGAAAAGGGGCCATGGGATGACTCCAGTGACTTAATTCTTTCATCATCAAAAGGGTAACTATAATTCAGCAGTTTCATTTTGTAACGTGAAAGACAGCTTACTAGATAGGATCCACCAGTGAATTTTGGTTTTTCCCTCCAAACTTCAAAGCATGACAAAAGAACATAACCCTTTTATGTCCCTACTTTATAGTCAGCAGCCTCTCTAAAGACTAGGAAAAATTTTGACAAAATATATTACCTGGTGTCCTAACTTTTCATACTGACAAAATGGAAATAGAACTGGTAAATTTTTCAAAAATTGTCTGTTGTCAAGCTTCCTTTTTAGAATCAGAAAATAAAACATTAACTATACACCATCTGTTCACAGCAAAAACTTCAAAATTATAAAATAGGTAACAATGCAGAATTCGGTTATGAAAATAATGTAGAACTTATTCTGTCCTGATTTGTGAAACTGTGTACCTCAAACAGGAAACTGTGTGTACTGGGGTCAAGGAGAAGCAAAGCTGAGTGACACCATATGGATAATGGAAGAGCAAATGCTCAGTGCCTCATAATAAGAAGAAATTCCTACAAAAGACGATTCAAGCTCCCTTGGGACTCCAGAGGTACCAAAGCATGCTTGCTTAGGACTGGGACCTGGAGGAAGGTGCTGACATTCTAAACCTTTGCCTGGTCTCTGTGTGGCAATGAGTAAGAACATGATTTTAAAAGTTCCATTTAGGTAGTGGTGGCTTTCCTTTCTATGATGAGGCAGCCCTAGAGCAGAGCCTGGAAGTAAGATTATAGAAAGAGAGGCTTCAGACACAGCTCTACAAAAGCAAAAAATATGCAAGGTTTTGTTTTGTTTTGATTTGGCAGCATCAGCAGAAATCTATATAGATTACATCATAGTAGGGGAATATTTATCTTCACAAATATGGAGGTAGACTCTGATGATTAATATTCATAGTTGGAAGATATGCACTATAGGTGGATATCTGGAACTATTCGGAAGATGCAGGTCATGCTGGTAGGCAATTCTCGAAAGGGACCAGATTGGGATCCAAACCCCACCCACTACTGTCCTGCTGAAGTTCCTCTGTGAAGGCGGTCAAGGCTGCATATACAGACTTGGGGAAATGTACTACTGGAGATCGCCATGAATGTTTTGGTAAGAAAAGGGAGACAGATTGCAGGGCAAGACCAAACTCAGTGGACAGTGAATGGCACTTCTGCAAAAGGGAGAGGGTGGGGGAAAGGGAGGTGGGGCTTTGCCCTGGAAGGAGGTTTGTGAGATTTTTCTCTCCCCAGAGGGAAAGGCACGAGGAGCAGGGAGCAGGGCTAGGAACAGAAATGTGCCCACAAGACAAGGACAGGTTTTACTTCACGTGGGCGGGGACTTCCCTTTGGCCTATGGAAACAGTCATGCGTCCTGTACTATTAAATCTTTTAAAAATGATATAAAATTTGCATAACAGAAAAATCACCTTTTTAACTGTTTTAAAATACACAATTCAGTAATTGTTAATACACTCGCCATGCTGTGCAACCCTGTATTTATAAAAACTCTTGCCCTTCCTGTGCTCTAATTCCCTTTAGCTGCCCCAATCCTTCAATAACTTCTCCATTGCCGGACACAGCCCTGGATGGAGATGCTAAGGAAGCCAAAAGAACAGGCCAGAAAAGGGAAGTATGGTCTGTCCCAAAGTCACCCCAGTACTGATGACAGTGTAAACACAGCAGCTTCCCGGGGGAGGGGGAATGCGGCCTGGGAGCTCCGCGTGCCAGGGAGGAGAAGCAGATAGTTCAGGTTACACAAGGAAGTCATGCTCCAGCACTGCACAGTCTACAGATGGCCACAAACACCACGCCCGGAATACTGAACGGAAATGCAAGCATCTGTATCAACCAGTTAGTACATAACTTTGTTTCATGTGTGTTCCTATTTAAAGACATCTTGGGGTACCTGGGTGGCTCAGTCGTTAAGCGTCTGCCTTCGGCTCAGGTCATAAGCCCAGGGTCCTGGGATCGAGTCCCACGTCAGGTTCCCTGTTCAACGGGAAGCCTGCTTCTCCCTCCCCCAGCCCCCCTGCTTGTGTTCCCTCTCTCGCTGTGTCCCTCTCTGTCAAATAAATAAATAAAATCTTTAAACAAACAAACAAAAGACATCTTATTTAATATACACTGTCGATCCCTTAGCATTGAACTCATGGTCAACAGCACCATAATCTCATGCCTGAATGCAGTTTATCTAACCCACGTATTTTCTTTATAAACCACAGCGCAGCCTTCTTGTGCTCAGGGACCCTAGACGGCACTTGAGCGCTCTGCGTGGGGAACGTTTGAAATAGTGATATCACCAAAGAAAAGCCCCCAAATGTGAAAATCATGGCACTAAAGAGATCGTGAAAATGACATCCGTTCACAGTGTGAGAGGTGAACCAAGAAGGCAGTGTCACCTTGCTCAGCCTCAGTTGGGTGACAAATTTTTCACCACTGCGCCCATGTCTGCAGATGACTATAAAAGCACTGTGGAGTATTGACTTTGGTGTTACAAATAGATTTTGGTGAGGAGTACAATTCACAAGTTCAGAGCGTACAAGTAATGAAGATGGACTATATCTGGTCCACCCACACCGTACACACGGTGCCTCTGTATCCTTTCATGGAGTTGATAAAGTCAGGGATTAAGCCATTTATTTCTACTTACTCTGTCAACTATAGGAGTACATTAAATAAACCATTTTTTAAACTTACCTTAAATGTGTGTTGAGAGTCAGTATTTTATCACGTAAAAACATTACATGACTATCAGACAAACCATGATATAACAGAGACAGAGGAGCTAGGTTGAGTTTTGATTTCCATGTTTGCAAAGGCTGAGTGGATAATTCCAGCCATACCCATCTACCAGACTGCTTTGAGGATTAAATGTGATAATGGCTGTGAAAACACTTTGTAAGCACCATTGCCTCCAGGTTTCACGCCTTTTGATTAGTGAGATGAATGATAATGTGCTCAGTGCTTACCTGCACCCAAATATAGCTATCCACGGCTTTTAGAACCTTCACATTGTTAACAGGGTGGATTTCAACCAACAAAGTTAAACACTTTGATCCTACAAAGGAAAGGAGGCTTTTAGTAACAAAGATCAAAATGTCTTTTGTTATCTTCTCCCCCTAAGTTTGAATTTTGAAAATGTAAATATGTTACCTATTGTATTAGGTCTTCCAACAGGAAAAGTAATTTTTATTTTATTTTATTTATTTATTTATTTGATGGAGAGAGACACATCAAGAGAGGGAACACAAGCTGGGGGAGTGGGAGAGGGAGAAGCAGGCTTCCCGCCGAGCGGGGAGCCTGATGTGGGGCTCGATCCCAGGATCCTGAGATCATGACCTGAGCTGAAGGCAGACGCTTAATGACTGAGCCACCCAGGTGCCCCAGGAAAAGTAATTTTCTTAAAATTTACTTTGACAGTTCTTAAAACCCACAACAGACGAAGAAAACCTCATGAAGGAGAAATCAATACACATGGAGTCAGGACCAAGTGCCTGCCCATTCCTCAGCCACTTAGCACAGCCTCACAGTCCCTCTGGGCTCCTAAGGCTAAGCAAACACAACCCAATTCACAATCACTCCCAATTCTGCAGCACAAGGACCAATATCATTGGTGGGTGAAAATATAAAGATATTTCTGGTACATCACCATGACAGCACCTCTGAGGAGGACAGAGGCCTGGCTTCCTTCTGCAATGGTGGTGGAGCTGCGTTGATTAAGACCCACTTAGTTCCTCAGTGTCACATTACAGCGAATGTCATAAAAGACAGCGGTGAAGAGGAAGTCCTTGGATACAGGCTAGCACGGGGTCACCACAGATATCCAGATTTAGACCAAGAGCTCCCCTACCCCAAGATGAAACCTCACATTCAGAGTTGCCTTAGAGTTCTTACGAAGACTAATACTCTCAGGTGCTTTCTCAATGACTTTATTTTGAATAATAATGTACAATTTCAAGGCTGCATAGCAGCCTGGAATTGAGTCAGTGCCAATTTTCACTAGCTAAGAAACTAACCTGACAGCAAATAAAGGCAAATGATGTGGTCTTACAATCGCAAGCATTGGAAATCTCTGTAAACGTGCCTTTTAAAGATTACTGAAAAAGCAAGACAGTGAGTTACGATGTGGGATCCCAAATATACAAGGACAGAACAAATGAAAATCAAATATTGTTTGGTCAAGGGTACTTGGAACTTAGGATAAAAATCAAAGTGACAGGATCACATGCCAATCCAAAAGGGCTATACTTCTAATAACTGGGGCAGAGGTAAAGGTGAGGAGCTTTGGGAATCTGCTTGATAACTAAAAACAAAACAAAACAAAAAGTCTCTAAGAATAAGAAACACATCGGTGTCAGAGTGCCTGGGTGCCTCGGTGGGCTGAGCATCCGACTCTTGATCTCAGGTCAGGTCATGGTCTCAGGGTCGTGAGACCGAACCCCGCATCGGGCTCCATACTCAGTGGGGAGTCTGCCCGAGATTCTTTCTCCCTCCCTCTCCCTCCTCTCTCCACTCACACATGCTTGTTCTCTCTCTCTCTCTAACAAATAAATAAAATCTTAAAAAAAAAAAAGACATTGGTGTCAAAGATACTTGAGAAGAAAAACAGAAATACTTCGTGAAATGTGAGAATGAGAAAAAAAGGATTTTCCTTTTATATTATTTTACATTAAGTGTATAAATAAATTAATAATTACAGTTACTATATTAAGTAGTACAAGCTGACATTTGACTATTTGATGTCTTGACCTAAAAGTTTATACATCCCAAGTTGGGGGAAAAAAAAAACTTTTTATGAGACAGGCAGGGGAATCTTCTCTTTAAGGAGTAAAGAATCACCTTATAGTTAGACTTTGATATTTGATAACCAGCTATCAGTTAAATTCACTTGACTTTAAAATGGGAGGATTTTCAGGCGCCTGGGTGGCTCAGTCGTTGGGCGTCTGCCTTCAGCTCAGGTCATGGTCTCGGGGTTCCTGGGATCGAGCCCCGCATCAGGCTCCCTGCTCAGCGGGAAGCCTGCTTCTCCCTCTCCCACTTCCCTTCTCTGTCAAATAAATAAAATTTTAAAAAATAAATAAAATGGGAGGATTTTCAAGAACTGAAACCATCTTTCTACACTAATTTTTCCCTTTTTTGGGACAGCCCAGGCACCTAACATAATAAGCATAATGATAAGAGTAATCGTGTAAACAGGAATTTCTCTCAGTAACATACCATGTGCTTTCATGGTGTAATATGATGAACTCTGGATTAGGATTCTAGAGACATCGGTTCTAGTTTACACTCTGCTGCTAACCTAATAGACACTTTTCAGAAAGAACAAAGCATTCCTAGGCTTGAGTGCCTTGTTATTAAAAAAACAAAAACTAGAGAATCAGATCACTCCTACAATCACTTTCAGTCATGAAATCCCGTTGATTCCATGAAGTGCTTAAAGTTGTCTTAAGAAGTTCAAGAATCCAGGGGCGCCTGGGTGGCTCAGTCCATTAAGCGTCTGCCTTCGGCTCAGGTTATGGTCTCAGGGTCCTGGGATCGAGCCCTGCATTGGGCTCCCTGCTTGGTGGAGAGCCTGCCTCTCCCTCTCCCTCTGCCTGCTGCTCCCCCTGCTTGTGCTCTCTCTCTCTCTCTCTCTCTCTGTCAAGTTAATAGATAAAGTCTTAAAAAAAAAAAAAAAAAAGTTCGAGAATCCAGATGTCAGTGGAGCCTGGAAGGGCATCACCGCAGGGTACGCCATGTCCTGTGGATATCACAGAAAGCAGAGACAGCAGGAGCAAAAGTGACAACGTGGACGGATCTTGAGGGCATTGCACTAAGTGAAATCAGAGAAAGACAAATACTGTATCATCATCTCTCTTATGGATAGATTCCTGGAAAGAGAAATAAAAACCCCATGCTCATAGATACAGAGAACAAATTGGCAGTTACAAGAGGTGGGGGGGGTGGTGAAGAATGGGAGAAACAAGTGACTGGATTTTTGTTTTTTGGGTTTTTTTTAGTTTATATAAATTGAACAAAAAAAATTTTTTTTTAAAAAGCATAAGGACAGGCATGGCATGGGGAAAGCACAGTCTACAAAAGAATCTAGTCTGATGCAGGTGAAGACACATGTTGTGAATGATGACAAAGTTGGAAGAGTAGCAGGGTCTGGTTCTGAAGCAGCTCTTGTTACTGGACGTCTTGAACCAAACCACAGCTCCACGGAGCCTCTGCAGCACTTAACTACAATGGTGCAGGGGGCCTCGGGAGTCTCAGCGGCCAACACATGTGGCCATCCCCATAGCTGCCCAGGGGGAGGCGCTGTGCTTGAGGCAACTGCAACTCCGCAGGGGAGGGTGAAGGGGACAGTTAGGTCATTTTCTTCTTCCCTTTTTCTTTTCTTTTCTTTTTTTTTTAAGTAAGCTCTATGCCCAACATGGGGCTTGAACTCACAACCCTGAGATCAGAAGCTCCATGTTCTACTGAGTGAGCCAGCCAGAGAACTTCTCTTCTACTATACCCTAAACAAAACATTAATCTGCCATGGCCACAGCCAAGAAGAAAAGCACTATGGATAAAAACGGTGTTGCAAAGTATGTGGACCAAATAACCTTATCTTGTTCATATGAAAGATGTTACAGTTTGTCTCACTTGCAATGGAAAAATCTCATTATAAAGCAACAGAGTGTTAAACAATACCTCCAGGCAAACTACATTTTATAATTGAATGGCTTATCAGGTCATTCATGGGCAGATAAAATAAGGTTTTCCAAAATATTTGTTCAAAGGATAAAAGAGCATAATAGAGTCTACAGTGTTTTCTGGTCCCATAATTTCTGAAATCTTAACTGAACAAAGGCCTTGTAGGGTCTCCATGATTTGTCTGTACTTCAGCCCCGTTTTCCTCTGGCCTCCGTTCCTACCACTCTGGCCCTTTTCCTTCGGCCTTATTGACCTCCTCACTATCCTTATCAGCGAGTCCACCAAGTACACTCTGGCCCCAAGACCTTTGTGCTGGCTGTTGTCACTGTCAGAAATGTGCCTTCCCCACAGCCACGCGCTTGTTCCCTCCCTTCTTTCAGATCTCTGTTTAAACACTCCCCTAATAGTGCTTCCTAGGATCATCCCTCAAATAAACTAATTGCACTCAAATGCTAGCCTCAGACTCCAGCTTAGGGGAAAACCCAAACTAAGACAAGAGAGCTGTGGTGTCAGGTAGTGGGGAGTGTGAAACAGGAAGAAGAATACACCAGTAAGCAGGACCTTATCAAATTCATGACTACCTTGGGACTTTGAGCAGCATGGAGGACACATCAGAATTATCCACTTCAGGGATGGAAAGGGGAGTATTTATCCTTCAGCTCTTTGGCCCCTCATTGGTCATGGCTTGTCCTAATGGGGATCATTTCCAGCCACATTTTCAGGTGGCACACATGTAGGCAGTAAATATTTCCCCAAGGGCTCTGGGCAAAAAACAAGAAGCTGGCCGAGCAGCTGAGTTAAGGCGCGGTCTGTCAAATTATGTCTGTGCAGAGCTGGTTCTTACTGTAGCTGCTGGCCTAAAAGGTGAACTGACAAGACATAAAGTATTAGGAAGCCAATATAATACACCTAACAATGTTCATTCTAATATGTTTAAAGATGTGATCCGATAATCCCACCGGAGGTGCATCAAGCTTTAAAAGACTGAGTAGGCAGACCTGAATAGGATTTTTTTTAAGGTTTATTTATCCTAGAGAGAGAGAAAGTAGAGGACAGGGGCAGAGGAAGAGGGAGAGCAGCCCAAGCAGACTTCCCACTGAGTGCAGAGCCCATCGGGAGGCTTGATCTCATGGCCCCTAGATCACAACCCAAGCCAAAACCAAGAGTCAGACACTTAACTGACTGAGACACCCACGTGCCCCCTGAATAGGATTTAATTTAATAAACCTTACAATAAAGTTCATCTGAAAGTACTTTTTATCTTTTTTTAAAGATTTTATTATTTGAGACAGAGAGAGCATGAGCGGGGAGTGGCGGGGTGGGGGGGGCGGAAGGGCTTTGGGAGAGGGAGAAGCAGGCTTCCCTCGGAGCAGGGAGCCCGATGCGGGGCTGGATCCCCGGACCCTGGGATCATGACCTGAGCCAAAGGCAGACGCTTACTCTACTGAGCCACCCAGGCGCCCCTGAAAGTACATTTTATAATGTACATAATCGCCACTGTTCTTCATGACAATCAGGCATAGATGGTAAACATCGTGTAAGGAATATAGGTTCTATTGGGTTTACCAGCAAAATAAAGAATTCCTGAGGCTAAAAGAAATCAGGGCCAAAAGGGCCTGAGTAGAATTTCTTACAAATATTTGAGCCAACATATAAAAATTAAAATTTCACACAAAGGTTCATATTTCTCTTGGTAAACTGAAAAGCTGGTCCCACTGGGCTTACTGCCCTCCTTTGAAGATGGGACCATGCCCCATCGCGCACCCACACCCACCATTAGTCTCTATTGCTCACCATGAGGGCAACTGCTACACCTCTCTTGTATAACATTTTATCCCCAGCACCATGCAGAGTGACTGATCCACTGCAGGCACATATTTGTTGAGTTCTGGACATATGGATGATATGGAATGTTAAAAAGAAGGAGGGAGCCTCACATAGATAATAAACTATAAAGTGGGCCCTGGCAAATGAGAAATTTTATTTAGAATTGGTGGACTATTCACAGTTCACACAATGTAAGAAAAAAAAGATATTCTTGGAAGGACTCTCAACCCTTCCCAGCGTTTTTTACACCAGCTTCTGGTCATAGGGTTCTAGGATGTCCTCGGTGTTTATTTGTCTGCAGGTGCTAAAGGGCTTTTTTAATACTTCTACTATTCACTGCCACATTATATTCTGTACTTTCTTGTTTACTTGAAAAAAATAATTTACAAAACGTTTTCATGCTTGACAGGACTTTTGCCTTTCATTCTGAGATAATTTGTAAAGATGCTTGAAATTTGACTTAATAGTGAATAAATCTTCATCTGTCAATAAGCACTAAAAAAATATAATGTCATACCTGGTTGAAGCTCATTCTTTCTTCCTTCCTTAGTAAAATGAACTAAACTTGCAGCTAATGGAAAAAGAAAAAAAATAATCCATTAGCAAATGATCCATGCAGTGGCTGGTTAAAGTTTACCACTTTATACCTGAAATAAGTGAGGGCTCAAAGGATCTGTCAGTGGATGATTAAGGTAACTCAGAAAGCATTCTTTTTTGTAAGTAGACTCCACAGAATTTTTTTTTCAAAATTAATCTCCCAAGAGCATCTTTTCCCAGAAAATCATTGTTGTAGAATAGTCAAATATTGCAAAAGTCCAAACTCAACAAATGTAGTTTAGTTCTTGACATGTAGCAATAAAAGAGTTCAACTTACCAAGCAAAGTTCTCTCACTGTTGACAGAGCAACTGACAACGTGCAAGTCTTTCTCAAATGTATAGAGATGCTATTAAAACAAAATTATTTTTTAATTTGGAGTTTTGTGTTAAAAAACAATTTTAGAATTCAAATTCCCAGTTATCATGGTGGTATCATGGTGGCCAGACATTTTATTAGAGAACCATCAATTAACCAGTTTATCCATACCGAGAAGTTCCAGATTATTTTTTAAGAAAAAAGTCTGCAATTGTAGGCCATAGTTGGCACTGAAGCTTAATCATGAGGCAACCTGGCTTAGTGGTTAAGAGCCTAGACCTTGGAGCCAGGCTAGATGTAGAATTAAATTCTGGTTGTGCCACTTGCTGGCTGTGTGACTTTGGAGAACTTCTTCTTCTTCTTTTTAAGATTTTATTTATTTATTTGAGAGAGGGAAAGAGAGCACAAGCAGGCAGAGGGGCATAGGGAGAGGGAGAAGGAGACTCCCCGCTGAGCAGGGAGCGCGATGTGGGGCTCAATCTCAAGACCCCAGGATCATGACCTGAGCTGAAGGCAGACGCTTAACCAACTGAGACACCCAGGTGCCCCTGGACAAGTTATTCAATCTTTCTATTCTCCTATCAGTAAAATAAAAATCATAATACCTATTACATGAAATCCTTAGAAGGATCAACTGAGATGATCCATACAAAGCACTTATTACACTGTCTGCCACCCATAATAAGCACTCAGATGTCAGCTATTATAATTATTGAGAGAAGTAAAGTTTTAATCAAGTTACCTAACTACGATATCATTAATTATGTCTAACAGACTATCACAAGTGCGTCTCCTGTAAGGCTCTCATATTCAGAGCCTTGGCAGAGTAATTTTGTTTTTACTTACTCTTTTAAAAATTTTCTTGCTGTTTGAAATGTTGCAAGATTCCATTTCCTTATTAAATATCAAAGAAAATGAAAATGGTCATGAAGAAGGAGGATATGATATGCAAATTGAGGAAATGAAGACAATCGCAGTTATATTAGGCAAACTCTTACAATACCCTCAGAAGGTAAGAAAAGATCAAGAGTCTTAGACCTCAGCAGAGAACAGGCGAACAGAAACAACATGTAGCAGGAGTATTAGGAAGGTAATTAGTCCTTGCACATTTAAAAAAGCACTGAGAGGGCGCCTGGGTGGCTCAGTTGGTTAAGCGACTGCCTTCGGCTCAGGTCATGATCCTGGAGTCCAGGGATCGAGTCCCGCATCGGGATCCCTGCTCAGCAGGGAGTCTGCTTCTCCCTCTGACCCTCTCCCCTCTCATGCTCTCTCTCTATCTCATTCTCTCTCTCAAATAAATAAAATCTTAAAAAAAAGAAACCTTTAAAAAAATTATATATAAAAAAAAGCACTGAGAACACACTAGAATCCTACGGCCAGAAGTTGATGAAAAATGTTGAGAAGTCACGAAATGCTTGATTAGAAAAAGTGAACTTTGAGTGAATAAGGAGGCTCTAAATTCCCGTGAAACATTTTGGTTTCCTTTGTCTCTTGCTCTGAGGGATTCTGATATACAAGTAAGAAGAATCATGGATGTATACACTTAACTTTCAGTATTTTACCCTTTTAATTATAAGATGACACGTGAATAGTCTCAGTGTTTAAAACATGCCAACACCACCAAATAAAAAGTCAGAGCTCTCCACTACACTCACCCCGTATGAACTCCTTTCCAAAAGGAAACATTTTGTAATTGACTCTGTAACCTTCCAGATCTTTTTAAAATGAGTTTTTAACATATATTTATGTTTTCTTGAAAGTTTTTTTAAACATAAATGAAATGTATTATTCTGGCAACTTGCTTTTTTTCACATAACAGTATGTTTTGGAGAACCTTCTGTGCCAGTGTACATTTAGACTTCTTAGCCCCTTAATATTTGTAAGTTGTTTTTACATAGGCACAAAATGACTCCCTCACCTTTGCACCAAGAGTCAGATAAGACTTGTCACATCAACCAATGTTCTATGTGGGTGGTGTGGGGAAAAATTAAGAAAAGGAAGCTGGGTTCTACACCTGGATCTTTGAGATGCAAGAGAAGTGAAGGTTAAGGAGAAATGGAACTTGGAGTCGAGGTCATTATGAGATCCTAAACTTCTGGGAGCACGCAAATCTCAGGAAGGTATTGGACTTCCTACATTCCTACAGAATACTGGATAAATGATTTGAGCCAATTTTGCTTAAATCTCAAAGGACTAAGAAACTTCAGGTGATTCTTTGGTCCAGGAGTCCTTGCACTTTATTTACTTATTTATTTTTAAAGATGGTAAAAGAAAGAAGGGAGGCAAAGAAAATAAAAACTAAATTTTTAGAAAATGAAATGAGAATCTGTATCTAGAAAAAGGAGGCAGAAAGAAGAAAAAAACTCTAAAAGCAATACTAACGAGTAATCTATGATTTATTGTGATTTTTACCTCATTTTGTCTGGTTCGGCAGTCATATAATCCAAAGAAGACATTTCCCTTATCATCCTTAAAAAAATTAACCAGATATTTATTATATATCATTGTTTAGGAAGTTAGGATGTTATTAGCCTTAAACCTGCAATAATTCAATCAATATTAGCAATAAGCACTCTAAAGGTAGCATGTCAGAAAGGGACCAAACCTGTTTCAGCTAGTAATATGGGCTCAAAGAGTGAAATGGATTAAGAGTGTACAGCTCAGTGAGTCTGGGGGACCCCATCTAGTAGGTAGTAGAGTATAACAAAGGAGCAAATCTTTTTGTACTTCCGTTTATTTCTTCAAGACAATATATATGATAGAGATTGGAAGTGGCTAAAACAAGTCCATGATATTCCTGTAAATAAAACTTTTTGAATCACACAATTCTTTAAATGCAGCACACTTGTAGAATACAACTTAAAACAACTTTTTAAAAAGATTTTATTTATGTAAGTAACCTCTACACCCAACATGGAGCTCAAACTCACAACCCCAAGATCAAGAGTTTCACACTCCACTGACTGAGCTAGTCAGGTACCCCAACTTAAAATAACATCTGAGCAAATAAATAAATAAATACAGTAATACCTCTGTGCAAAGCAAGATGGCCACTGAAATTATTCTTTCATGTTTCTCTACTATAGTAAAGTTATCAGTAAAGTTACATTTTCATTCCTTAGAACACTTAATGTTGAAAACACACATTAAACAATAATGCCTCAGAAGTCTGAGCATACTTAAGTCTAAACAGATGATGTTGAGTAATCATATTTAATATTTTCTCAAAGATAAAACCTTACATATTAATTAGATTTAAACATCTTTCACTTAGCATTTTTTCCTCTGCAAAATGGAACTGTTCATTTACTCAAAAAATTTGAGCACTGAGTCTGAGAGTCAGACACATTCCATTCCATTAAGACTGAATTTCAATCACCTTATTTAATCTCACAAAATAAAAGTCACATTAAAGGTTAAATGCCAACAAGTTTTATTCATTACCCCCTCAGTAAGATATAGCATAAAATTCAATTAAAAAAGAACATAAATGGTTAAAATAGTAAATTCTATGTTACACATATCTTACCACAATAAAAAAAGAGAATATAGGCATACCTTATAGGTATAAATAATATCTCCATTTCTTTCAACATTTAGTATACGTAAGCTCTCATAATTATTTTCCAAAACACCTAAAATGATAAAATAATGATAGCAAGTTAATATTAAACAGGGAATTTTTTTTTTTTTTTAAGAGAGAGAGTATGGGTATGAGCAGGGGAGAGGGGCAGAGGAAGAGAGAGAGAGAGAATCTCAAGCAGGCTCCACACCCAGCATGGAGCCCAAACCAGGGCTCAATCTCATGACCCTGAGGTCATGACCTGAACCAAAATCAAGAGTCGGATGCTTAAATGAGTCACTCAGGTGCCCCAACAGGGACTGCTAAAAAACATATCTAATAAATATTAGTGAAAAGCCAAGTAAAAAAGAACACACACTGATGATTCCATTATATAGAGTTTTAAAATAGGCAAACTAATCTATTGTATAAGAGGTCAGAATAGTAGTGACCCTTAGAGTAGAGGCAAGGACTAGTGATTGGGCAGTATCTCAAGGGAGCCTTCTGAGGTACCGGTAATGCTGTATGTGTTGGGTATACTGATATACTCATTTGGCAATAACTCACTGAGCTGTACACTCTTAACCTATATACTTTTCTGTGTGTATGTTATGCTTCAATAAATTTTAAGTATATATTAGTTTTTGCCTTATGTATTTTGAAGCTATGTTGTTAGAGGCATAAAAATCGAGAACTGTTGGGAAAGGGAGCAAGATGGCGGAGGAGTAGGAGACCTGGATTTCATCTGGTCTCAGGAACTCAGCTGGATAGGGATCAAACCATTCTGAACGCCTACGAACTCAACAGGAGATTGAAGAAAAGAATAGCAACAACTCTCTGAACAGAAAAGCAATCACTTTCTGGAAGGTAGGACGTGCGGAGAAGTGAATCCGAGGCGATATTCGGGAGGATAGACGGCGGGGTAGGGGGCCTCCGTCGGCCGCTTCTGGCAAGTGATGGAGCCGCGGAACACAAAATCGGAACTTTTAGAAGTCGGCTCCACTGAGGGACGTCGCTCCAGTGGCTAAGCGGGAGGTGGAACCCTCGCTGGGACAGTGTGGTCTCAGGACCCTTGGGCTCACAGAAAGACCGGGGGTGCCTGAGTGCAGCAAAGCTCCCAGGGATCGGAGTGGGGAAGCCAGCTGCAGAGATGGAGCCAAAGCGCGGGCTCTCAGCTCAGGGTTGCCATAAACCGTGATCTGTGGCACAGTCAGGCCACTGCTCCTCCAGCAGGGACCCAACAAGCGGCAGATCCGGGGAGACTCCCTTTCCTCCCCCAGGAGGAGCGGCGCGGGAGCGCACCACAGGGATCTGCTGGGTTTGGAGACTCGGGAGACTCCACACCGAGTCAGGTGCCAGAGATAGAAACGCTCAGTCACAGGCCGGGTGAGCACAGAATGCGGCTGGAGACCAGGGAGATGGGAGTGACTGACTGCTTTTCTCTGGGTGCACACTGAGGAGCAGGGCCCTGAGTTCTCGGCTCCTCTGGGGTGGAAATTGGGAGGCCACCATTTTCACTCTCGTCCTCCAAAGCTGTACCGAAAGCTTGCAGGGAGCAAAATCTCCTGAGAGCAAACCCAAGCAGATTACTTAGCCTGGACCGACAAGGATGGGGCAATTCCGCCTCTGGCAAAGACATTTGGGAACCAGGGCAACAGGCCCCTCCCCCAGAAGATCAGCAAGAACAGCCAGCCAAGACCAAGTTTACCGATCAATGAGAATGGCAGAACTCCAGTGCTAGGGGAATAATGCACATAGAATTCATGGCTTTTTTACCATGATTCTTTAGTCTTTCAAAGTTAATTTTTTAACTGCCTTTTTTGTTTTTAATTTTTCTTTTTCCTTTTTTCAACCAACATCTTATCAATCCCTTTTTAAAAAAATATTTTTATTTTTCATTTTTAGAGTCATATTCTATCCCTTCATAGTAGTTACCCTTATTTCTGGCATATATATATATATAAGTTGTTCTCTCTTTAAAATTTTGAGATACAGTTTCTCCTAACAGATCAAAATATACCCTAAATCACTAGTGTATGGCTTTGTTCTAGTCTCCTCTCTGATCACATTCTCTCCCCTGCTTTTTTTTTTAATCCTTTTCTTTCTTTTTTCAAACAATTTCTTATCAATTCCTTTTATAAAATTTTTTGTAATTTTCATCTTTACAGTAATAGTCCATCCCTTCATCATATCAACCCTTATTTTGTACATATATAAGTCTTTCTTTCTTTAAAATTTTGGGAGGCACTCTCTTCTAACAGACCAAAATACACCCAAAATCTAGTGTGTGGCACTGATCTATGCACCAGCCTGATCATATTTGATCATATTCTGGTTTTTTTTGTTTTGTTCTGTTTTTGTTTCTTTTTATCTTTTTCTTTTTTTTCCCCCCTTCCTTTTTTCTTCCTTTCCCTTTCTTTTCCCCTGGTTTCAGATCTTTTCTGATTTGTTTGGAGTATATTTTCTGGGGACGCTGTTACCCTGTTAGCATTTTGTTCTCTCATTCATCTATTCTCCTCTGGACAAAATGACAAGATGGGAAAAATCACCTCAAAAAAAGAACAAGAGGTAGTACCATCTGCCAGGGACCTACTCAATATGGACATTAGTACGATGTCAGACCTAGAGTTCAGAATCATGATTTTAAAGATACTAGCTGGCTTGAAAAAAGCATGGAAGTTATTAGAGAAACCCTTTCTGGAGAAATAAAAGAACTAAAATCTCACCAAGTCAAAATCAAAAAGGCTATTAATGAGGTACAATCAAAAATGGGGGCACTAACTGCTAGGATAAATGAGGCAGAAGAAAGAATCAGTGATAGAGAAGACCAAATGATGGAAAATAAAGAAGCTGAGAAAAAGAGATAAACAACTACTGGATCACGAGGGCAGAATTCGAGAGATAAGCGATACCGTGAGACAAAACAATACTAGAATAATTGGGATCCCAGAAGAAGAAGAAAGAGAGGGGCAGAAGGTATATTGGAGCAAATTATAACAGAGAACTTCGTAATGTGGGGAAGGAAACAGGCATCAAAATCCAGGAGGCACAGAGAACCCCCCTCAAAATCAATAAAAATAGGTCAATACCCCGACATCTAATAGTAAAACTTACGAGTCTCAGAGACAAAGAGAAAATCCTGAAAGCAGCTCGGGAGAAGAGATACGTAACCTATAATGGTAGAAACATTAGATTGGCAACAGACCTATCCACAGAGACCTGGCAGGCCAGAAAGGACTGGCATGATATATTCAGAGCACTAAGCGAGAAAAATATGCAGCCAAGAACATTATATCCAGCTGGGCTATCATTGAAAATAGAAGGAGAGATAAAAAGCTTCCAGGACAAACAAAAACTAAAGGAATTGGCAAACACAAAACCAGCCCTACAAGAAATATTGAAAGGGGTCCTCTAAGCAAAGAGAGAGCCTAAAAGCAGCATAGATCAGAAAGGAACAGAGACAATATACAGTAACAGTCACCTTACAGGCAATACAATGGCACTAAATTCATATCTTTCAATAGTTACCCTGAATGTAAATGGGCTAACTGCCCCAATCAAAAGACAAAGGCTATCAGATTGGATTAAAAAACAAGACCCATCAATATGCTGTCTGCAAGAGACTCATTTTAGACCCAAAGACACCCCCACATTGAAAGTGAGGCAGTGGCAAACCCTTTACCATGCTAATGGATACCAAAAGAAAGCTGGGGTGGCAATCCTTATATCAGACGAATTATATTTTAAACCAAAGACTGTAATAAGACATGAGGAAGGACACTATATCCTACTTAAAGGGTCTATCCAACACGAAGATCTAACAATTGTAAATATCTATGCCCCTAACATGGGAGCAGCCAGTTATATAAGCCAATTAATAACAAAAGCAAAGAAACACATTGACAACAATACAATAACAGTGGGGGACTTTAACACCCCCCTGACTGAAAGGGACAGATCATCTAAGCAAAAGATCAACAAGGAAATAAAGACTTTAAATGACACACTGGACCAAATGGACTTCACAGATGTATTCAGAACATTTCATCCCAAAGCAACGGAATACACATTCTTCTCTAGTGCCCATGGAACATTCTCCAGAATTGATCACATCCTAGGTCACAAATCAGGTCTCAACCGGTACCAAAAGATTGGGATTATTCCCTGCATATTTTCAGACCACAGTGCTTTGAAACTAGAACTCAATCACAAGAGGAAAGTCAGAAAGAACTCAAATACATGGAGGCTAAAGAGCATCCTACTAAAGAATGAATGGGTCAACCAGGAAATTAAAGAAGAATTCAAAAAATTTATGGAAACCAATGAAAATGAAAACACAACTGTTCAAAATCTTTGGGACGCAGCAAAGGCAGGCCTAAGAGGAAAGTATATAGCAATACAAGCCTTTCTCAAGAAACAAGAAAGGTCTCAAATACACAACTAACCCTACACCTAAAGGAGCTAGAGAAAGAACAGCAAATAAAACCTAAACCCAGCAGGAGAAGAGAAATAATAAAGATCAGAGCAGAAATCAATGAAATAGAAACCAAAAGATCAGTAGAACAGATCAACAAAACTAGGAGCTGGTTCTTTGAAAAAATTAACAAGATTGATAACCCCCCGGCCAGACTTATCAAAAAGAAAAGAGAAATGACCCAAATCAACAAAATCATGAATGAAAGAGGAGAGATCACAACCAACACCAAAGAAATACAAACAATTATATGAACATATTATGAGCAACTCTATGCCAGCAAATTAGATAACCTGGAAGAAATGGATGCATTCCTAGAGATGTATCAACTACCAAAACTGAACCAGGAAGAAACAGAAAACTTGAACAGACCTATAACCACTAAGGAAATTGAAGCAGTCATCATAAATCTCCCAACAAACAAAAGCTCAGGGCCAGATGGCTTCCCAGGGGAACTCTACCAAACATTTAAAGAAGAATTAATACCTATTCTCCTGAAACTGTTCCAAAAAATAGAAATGGAAGGAAAACTTCCAAACTCATTTTATGAGGCCACCATTACCTTGATCCCCAAACCAAAGACCCCATCAAAAGGAGAA